AATTGCCGCCCGTCAGCGAGCGGCACAAGCGGTCTCCAGCTGTCCCACTGGGATGAATGTACGCAGGACCAATGAGGTATTGGATCGTTACAGACCCAGCCACCATCATATCTGCGATGCTTAAGTTCACCAACAGATAGTTCATTGGTGTTTTCATGACTCGATTTCCAGACACGATAATTAATACCAATGCATTACCAACTAGGTTAATAGTCACTAGGATAGAGAAGGTTACGATGATGATGATTTCCGTTGACGACATTATCTTTGTAAACCTGAAAGATGGCTGATGCCAACTCTGTTGCTACTAAGCCAACCTGTAACGAAGGTTGGACAAGTGAAACGCATTAATCGTATTATCATACGTGAAAAAAATACCAGCTTCAAAAGCCTAAAATAAGGGTTATTGTAATTTGTATTTTATAAAAGAAATAAAAAACTTGCTTGATGTGCTGTGTGCAGTTATAAAGCACTTGGGGATTGGCAGAACACTCGAGAAGTGTCCAGAAGCACTCCGCTACGCGTCGTGCTTCTCCTAACACTTCTCTCGTGTTCTACCAACCCACGCGTGCTTTATGACTGCACACAGCACGCGCGCGCGTTTTCTATTTCTTCAATGTATAATATTTACTCAGTAATGTATCACTATGACTGAACTAATAAAACATTGTTTAGCAATAGCCCAATCACCATTTCCGAGGTCTTTGTTCCACGAATGACATCAGCAGCAACAACAAAAACAACAACAGCAACGTCAACAACAATTATTTAACGTCAGGTAACATCAACAACATTTCGACGACGACGACAACAGCGAAGAAAGGAGAAACGACAAAAATGAGAAAAAAATCGAAATCGGAAAATGACTGTGATTCTACTTCGGGTTTTTCTCTCATTAACTCTTGAACTGTTATTGCCGCGCACTTCGTTTTTTTTTTCTCGCCTCTTCCGCCTCCCCCCCCTTCCCTAAAAAAAGTCATCAATCGTACGCATTAGTACTTGAATAAAACACCGCGTGGCCAGTGTAATTACTATTAGTTGTGGTTCCATCTTACCTGAGTATCTGTCTTATACTGCGGGCGATAAATTGTGAATAGATATTTAATCTGATTCACCACGAGTTATGAAACTCCTAGTTGAAATAAGGCCAAGAAAATGACTCTTTCGCTCGTTCGAAACCAAAAAAAGGTTACGAAAATATGAAACAGAGTCAGAAGTTTCATGCCTCATTCATTACAGTCTTATATCTCAATGAAGGGGAACAGCCGAATGGCTTCTAAGAATGAGGAAATGGGGAGATTCTTTTAGATCAAAAAAAGCTGTCATAAAGACGTCATTTTAAAAAGGAATTTTTAAGTTCGAATTTAAAGTCTTTCGAAAGGTGTCCCGAAGTCACCAAAGCACACACGTATTACTAAAAAACAAGTTGTAATTGTTAATTCTTTGAATTCTTTTTAAACCGTTATCATCACCTTTATATCTTTCTTTTCCCGGCTTCAGCAACCGACAAGTCAAAGCGTGAATAAAGATGTTGCGGGGTCAATAAAGACTATAAAATAAACGAGGGTTTCCGCTTTCGATTTTCTATATTTTTTCAAGTTTGAATACAATTGTCTGAGAATTGAGTTTTTGGGTTTAGTAACTAAATATAGGGACTTGTTCATTCGTAAAACGTTAATGACTAGGGAATAAGAATGATGCAAAACTCGATCGCTTTCAGATGAAAATAAAAACACTAACTCAACTCATGATACAGTCGCCCAGCTTGAACACTAAACTAGCTTACCCAATATCATCCTTTCATATACCTYATAACCTTACCTTAGGTTTTGTACTTTTAGTATTTTGTGTACTTCCAAATTCCAATACTCTTTCAATTCTAAATACGGACACCAGCCTGATACGGAACTTTTGATTTCAGTCTGTTCAATGCTAGTCTGTACTAGGGTCACATGCCTGGCGTTACTTATGTTGGTATGTGTTTCGAAACCTTTGAAATYCGTTGTATCCTTTGTAGGCTTATTGAATTACAACGTAGGTTTCTGGTGATTTTTTAAGTGTGTGTATAAAAATGGGTACCCTGCGAGCAGAGYCTCCTTTTAGCTCCTCTACGGATCTGCTCGCAGGGTAAAAAATGAGAAGCTATTTCAATATTTTCTGTCAAAAATGTTTGCGCAAGRAATTAGAAGCCATTGCAAGAAGAAGGACTTTGTTTTTATGAACAAAGAAACCCTCGTATATATGCTATGTATGGGAGCAGCACCTTGTCCCGGGGGTTCGTCCCAAGAAGCTTTTTCTTAATTCTTAGAGGTATTTCCAAAAAAATTGAGTCTCATGTGAGAAGGAAATGTTTCAGCAAAAAATACTCAAAAAATATCCCATATAATTATATGACGGTGGAAAAATCTTGATTATTTGCAAAATTTTGCCATAAAATTACTACTTAATGAAAAATAATAATAAATAAATAAATRAATAAAATCATAGGGTATCTCTCAAAACTCTGAACTTAGAAGCATAAATTTTTAGAGATTGGTTATGCTTTTTCTATCGGAATTTAGGTTATCCATGCCCTTCCAAAAGGTGAARATTAAAAATAAAAAGTTTGCAGTCCAACATCCAGTCAACCAAGCTCCAGCCTAAATTATCGCTCCCTCTATACGATTCATGATTTCCAAATTAAAAATATCTCCTCACTAGTAAAATGTAGAATTAAAAAAAAAAAGGTTTACAGTTGATCTTTCTAGTGCTGGTATAGGCTGTTCATTAAGAAATTTTAATTTAAAAATTAAATTAAATTTCACTCATTTGAATTTGCATCTGTGATTTTTCACAAAGGGTCTATTGCAGGATAGGATTTTGAAAAAGTAAAAAACGTTCATCACTGTCATGTTTGATATTATCGTTTATCATAATTATGATTATGTTAAATTATTAACAACATCTGATGATAAAATGCAAGAACAGCACCTCATATACAATGCCAACCAGCTGTCGGCCATTTGACAGCCTCAACATCATCGACGTATGCAAATGAAATTTCATAGGTCAACAATGTACCTTAACCATAATAACCTATGTACACTATATATATATATATATATTATATACATGTGCTTAGAGCCAATTACATTATCATCATGATTATTTTATTACTATTATTGTATTATACCAACAGAAATCCCATTCCTCCATTTAAGCTGTAGTACATTGTAATTCTTCTGAAGATGTCTAATCTCTGACAAGTTCCATCATTTCATTCCTATACTTCCATATATACATCCCATTTTTCTGTTGTCAATACTTTAATAATAAGGGTTCCAGTTACTCCCATCTTCAGGTTTTAATGTTCCAGTAATCAGTAATATGATATCCACAACCCACCAAATGCCAAGACCCCCAATGGTTAATAATTTTCCAACTGCTGTTCCAGTATGACCAAGGCAGAACCTGTCTACGCCAAGAAACCCAAGCAGTATTGAATACAACAGAGTAGTGACAAAGTAATGGCCAGAATATCTATAAAGAAAGGCAAAAAAGTCAATCGCATTTAAATAATCTTGAATTACTACTGTGCTACTAGGTCTTAGATCTAAATATCAACCTGAATGTTATTCATCGGGTTTAAATAACAAAGAAAACCATTTTAGGCATACAGTATAATAAGCACCCGTTAAACTTGTGACCCTCTATGTTTAAGGTTTCTAAATTAGGTATGGCAAACGTCTTTAGAAGACTATTTTCTGATATTTTTAGTGAAAATGCAGCAACTTCAAACCCTTCAGACCCTGAATGTTGGTCCAGCAATGGCTTACACCCACTACCTCCCTGTAAAATCAGCATGTGCGCTGAGCATTGTGGGCATAGAATACTGAATGTAGTGGTAGTGCATATGAGCAAAAAGTGTCCCCAATTAGTGCGAAAGCGCTAGAATGACTAGACACTTAAATAAAAGTGATTTATTCATTTATTACATACTGAATCATAATATGGCAATCAATTTTCAATTTAAATTATTATTGTTCTGCACTGACTAGTCTCATGTTCATGTGGAAACATAACTTGTGTTTTCTCATATATATGAGAGGCTAGGCCATTAGCTATTCAGTGCAGAACAATAGTTATTCAAATTGGTTGCCATATTTGATTCAGGGTATATATTGGGTAAATAAAATTTAAGTTTGTCCATCCTACTTGATGCAAGGTTCTTCATGACCAAGGAATCTTCTCTTGCCATGGCATTCTATCCCAGGCAAAACCTCACACCAAACTTTAGATCTCTCCACTTCCTCATATCTTAATCCACCATACTAAAACACAAACAAATAATAATGACAATCCTCCTTCAGAAAAACTTATAGTTTTCTTCAGTTACTTCAGACCAAGTGTCACTTCCTAGAGTACCATTCCTTTGTTAACTAGTTGTGCATGGGGAAAACATGAATAAATGGGTACAACTTAAATAAATAATTTCATTCTTGAGTGAATGACATGGTCTTTAATGGGAAAACTTTGCAACTATCAACTAGGTCTATTCCTGGTTTTCAATCATTTCCAAGGGAGTGATATAACAAAAGACATGGCAGCCAYATTGGATGATACAACAAAAGAATTCATTGACAATAGACCATTTCACGGATCCTGTTACTCAACCTCAGCCACAYCAGTGTGTAATATATTCTTTAGAAATTGCCTACAACCTGTGAAATTTTTAAGTGTTCCAATTGTTTGTTGATGTGTAAATTCCTTTCATTACTGCGGACTGTAGTCAAATTCTAAAGAATAATTACACGCTGACGAGGCTGAGGTTGAGTAACGGGATCCGTGAAATGGCCTATTCTCTTGTTAAATTCATCCAACATCCTGGAATGTCCTCATGTGCAAAGGAAGAATTTGTTTGATAAAAATTTAACATCGTAAAGGAAATGACATCTGACCTAAAAATGGGAAAACATTTTGCCCAATTAACACAGTACTAAGCTGATGAGGTTTATCACTCAATCCACTTTCTAAATATCTTTCTGTGGGTGTGTGTGTGAGGGGTGGGAGGGGGAGAGTTGGTAAGGGGGGGGGCAGGCAAAGGCACAACATTTCCTTACTTCCCTGGGGTTGAGAGTGTAAAATCTTTCGATTTAAGGAGGTAGGGCTACTTGATCTAATTATAAATTCGTCACAGCTAAAACCAATTCTGTCCATGACAGGATACAAACCTTGCTACAGCCATATCCTAGTTCTATTTTGTAAGTTGAATTCCCATGAAGATCCTGAGGTGGTTCGCATTCTAAAAAATCCCTTGGGCTAAAAAATGAAATATATATGTTCAAAATTCAGACGATTTTGCAGCAACTCTCACAAAATATTTATCTCAAATCATCGAAATTCTGCAAACTTTTGATGCAATACTTACACAAATTCACACTTTATCAGTGGTCCCTTCGGGTTAAAATTTACATCACATGATTCATTAGCGCAACTGCTATCTGTTTCCTTCGCTTGGACTTTTATTTTGTAGAACAAGATGATAAAAACGGTCGTAATTTTAAGGAGAGAAAAAACTCTCTGCCAACAACCTTCCGCCATATTTGTTATGAGGAATATAATCCATCATACACTGCGAGTCAATAGTGTCGAAATAAAGTTTAGGGGAGGAGAGGTAGAAATAGTTATTTCTAAAATATATATTATAAAATAACGAAATTAAATTTAATTCCCTTAATTTGCAAAAAGGATAAGCAAATTTTAGTGGCTTTCGTAATGATTAAGATTATATAAAGAAAAATACATTTTAAAGTTTTGTTTAGATTTTATTTGAATTGCAAATTCATATCTCCCCTCCCWCAAGATAGTTTTGACTTCATAATATGCAAGATGGCTGACAAGGTTACGTGGTGAATTCTACGTTGTCCAAACTTTTTTAGTAGTTTTGTGGCTAGGGAGCTTAAAAGAATATGGATAGGACTGTGCTGTTTAAGGCAAGTGTGAAGACTATTCGTACGAGGAATAAAGCACTCGGAGTCAAGGACAATGATAAAGGAAATTCAATTTTGACGAGTCGAAAATCAATGGGAACTGAGTTTGGTAAACGAGCAAAAGATGTGGTAAGATTTTTTTTCCATATTTAGTTATATTGTACAAATTATTTATTATTTATATTTTATTTGATTGATAGAAAGGACAGAATAATTCATTTTACATTGCCTTATATAGTATATATAGACAGCTTTCTTTTACATCATATCAATATTCTCTCTCTCTCTCTTTACATTCATTAAGCTTAATTTATTTTACAGCTTGTGAATATTAGAAAACTGAGAGATTTTCTCATGGAGCACCGTAAGGATTACATTGATGCTGCAAGGTAATGAAAGATGTCGTGAAATACAAACTCAGTGCACRCACAAGCTAAGTATTCAAGTGAGGTACATTTGGGCCGGGGGGTACACAACATTGCAAAACTGCAAAAGAACCTCTAAAAACACCTCATCACCACCAAAAAACGATTGAAAATACAAGCTCAATTTTTCTGGAATAGTTTTGACAAGACAACACAACACCAAAAGCAATAATATTGCTTTTTCTCTTGAAGTTCGTTAAATGAAATGTCAAGCATGACTGATGCAGAACGAGATCAGATTGACAAAGATGCAGAAACGTTTATGAGAACATGCAATGCTTCAATACAAGGTCTTAAAAATGAAGGTATGTTAAGTAGGATACTCATATAATGATCACTAAAATAATAAATTAATGATTTGAATAACTGGCTGGCTGGCTGGCTGGCTGGCTGGCTGACTGACTGACTGACTGACTGACTGACTGACTGACTGACTGACTGACTTGACTGACTGACTGACTGACTGACTGACTTGACTGACTGACTGACTGACTGACTGACTGACTGACTGACTGACTGACTGACTGACTGACTGACTGACTGACTGGATAGATGGACAGGTGGTTTGACAAATGGATAAATGATTGAATGAATAGAAATGAAATACAATAAATATAATGGCATTTTAAATATTTTTCGTGTTAGCATCAAACCTAGGTGGTCCTGAACAGGTCAAAACACACAGGGATGCAGTTATAGAATTGTTAGAGGGATATTTAAAAGGTAAACCATGTCATTAAATTAATAAATTTAAAAATGATATAGTTTTTGCTTTAATATTTGGTGTGACTGATTTGGTTAATACTAGTTGTCTTTTTTTATCATTTTTTCTATAGTTGTTTGTAAGCTCTACAGTGAGCAAAGGGCAATACGCATCAAAAGGGTAGTTGACAAGAAAAGAATGTGAGTCATCTATTTCTGTGTAATACAGTGCAAYGCAYAAAAGTATGACCACATTTATTGCATTAGCATACTTCTATGTACAGGTTCTGTATATTAAAACGACATATTCCAATGCAAAGCAAAGCTGTTTTTTCCAAATAAGACTTGCAAATGCTTATTTTGTAGGAAAAAGCCAGTGAATACATTATATGTGGTTATACTTTTGTGYATTGGGCTGTAAATAATTGTCATAGTGTTTTTTCTTTCTGTTGATAATGTATAAACAAGCCTGAATCATGTTCTTATTATTTTATGGAAAGCCTACTTTTTCAGTTATTTGTTTTTCTACCTCAGATCAAGGTTACAACCTGACAATGCAAAACGAAAATCTGATCTTCTCATGAGTGGGTTAGAACAAGAAGATGATGGAAACACTGAATCAATTAGTGAAGGTATTTCACTAAGCTATACAGTAATATTGTTATTTCTAACTTACTATGAAGGTGGCTCAGATGACCACACTAAAAGGCGGTCCTGTCTCTCCACACTACCTTACCCTGCAACGGAGGGACATAAAAGAACCCCTGAGGATGTAAAGAAACCCTGCAAGTGAACACCCTCGTTGTCTGGCCTTTACTAATGATTTCTTAATGGGTTGATTGTGGGATTTTACGGGTTTGGAAATTGTTGCAATGTACCTCGAAGGGGACCCTGATTCCTATTGTGCAGCACCAGCCAGTGAGCAAAATCACAAAAATAAAATAAAATAAGCTGAACTTAGTGGATGGGTGGGAGTAAACTGAATTTAGTAAGTGGGAGGAGGGGGGGGGGGGTGGGTGAGAAATGATATTCTGCATTTTCTGGAACTATGCCTAGTAATGGCAAACCATTTAGTTCAATATCATATCAGTAAGTTATTACTTTGTGTTTTTTTAGACAGACAAAAGGCTTTTAATGACTTCCAACCACCCATTGATGAGGATGAAGAACTTTTACCTGATGAAGTTCAAATGGTAATAATAGAAACAAATTTGGTACTTTTGGATCAGTATATTAGAATTAAAATAATTTTATCTTTTCCTTTTCATGACAGTTTGAACAAGAAAACAAGAAACTGTTTGAAGAAATGAACAGCCTAGTGGATGAAGTCAGGTAAGGATCAAAGGTTATTGGGATGCCTGTGTTCTCTACCCAATATTTCCACCACAGGGGGAGGGGGTGTGAAAAGGAGGCAGCTGATCATGAAATGGCATACAGCATACAACCTACAATTGTGGGATTTAGGGATAGTTAATTTAGCATGCCGGAGGGGGAGGGGGGGGGGGGGGGGGAGGGGGGGGGGGGGGGGGGGGGGGGGGGGGGGGAGAATGAAGATTTTCCCCAAAAATCCTTATTTTTCATAGACCCCCTTTTAGGACTTAACTTAATTTAACTTAATTTAAAAAGTCTCCCCAAACAACCCATGAAAATTTTCAAATTCAAATCGAGAGCCCCACTCCCCCAAGCACCCTTGTGTGCATGACAAATTTTTAGAGCCCCCCTTCATGTCCCAAAAACATTCAGTACGCCTCCACATATCTTCATTCACCCCCCCCNCCCCAACTTCCCCCACCAAATCACCCTTCCCTCGACATATTAAAAATGAACTTTCCCTTATGGGTATTTTCTGAAAGCATGAGTTTTACCAACTGTCCCCCCTCCCCCCCGTTTTTTTAGACCAGGTCCTATTAATATACCACACTTATTTTGTAGACAAATAGAAGGAAGAGTCGTGGAAATATCTAGATTACAAGATATATTTTCTGAGAAGGTTTTGCACCAGGTAAGTTAAGAAACCAAAATACTGTACTTGTACAATTCAACATTCAAAACATCTTATACTTTGACAGTGGCAGTGATTTAGGATTTTTTATATATTACTTTTAGGCTGGTCAGATTGAGAGAATACATACTACTGCTGCTGCGACAACTGAAGATGTAAAAACTGGCAATGAGCAAATAAGAGAGGTAACTATGACTACCAGGCTCAGTAGACTGAGTATTCATGGGGTGGGAACCCTGTGGTTTTGTATTTGTTGAAAGTGCCTTCAACTAATTTCATGACTATTACTCCTTAAGAATAACTCACTGGTTTGGCACCTTCTATTAATTTGTATTTCAAAATAACATTATGAATTTATGAAATTGATTAGCAAGGACAGAAATAATTGAAAAATTAAGTGGATATGGAAACAAATTAAAGTAACATTATTATTGTTACATTATTATTACCTAGTTGGTATACACCTACTTGCAAGAAGGTTGTCATACGATATTAGAACATTAGTAATTTAGTGAGAAAGGAATACATTAAAAGACAAAAGAAAAAGTTCAGCTTCAGTGATCTTCTTTTGTTTTTTAATACAATTCCTATCCCACTAAATCACTAATGTTCAGTTTTTGTATGAGAACGTTCTTGCAAGTAGGTGTATACCAAAACATTATTTTTATAGAAAAATATGGTTATTAATTAGCTTTTTTGTTTTTTTTTATATGACAACGTTCTTGCAATTAGGGTTAAATGGACATAAGAATAATAAACATTTCTTAATCCACTAAATGTATTCTTCAGGCAATAAAGAATAATGCAAGTTTTCGTGTATGGATATTGTTCTTCCTGGTCATGTGCTCGTTCAGCCTCCTCTTCCTGGACTGGTACAGCTGAGAGTGTTCATTGTATAACAGATATACTTATCACAATTTAAAATCAGAATAATAATCTATGCCATAGAGTTTTAAGTGACGTTACTCGTATGGAAAAACTACTTCCAGGTCCATAACAAAACGCAGTTCTATAAAGAATTTTCTTATTTGGCTACATAAAAATTATATATGTGTGTATGAGAATATATATGAAATATATATTTGTACTGTGGTTGAAATGTATCAAATTGAGCTGATCCTTGCAGAATATTTGAAGCAACTTATGCAGCTGCAAATTGAAAGATTCAGTAAAAATTCTGAGTCTTGGATGGTATTTGAACTCATTTGTCTGCATACGATACCAGTATGTTCCTTGATTACAGACTCATTCACTTACTGGGGCTAACCTCGTTTTAGAATCAGAACATTTACAAATACCAACGGTAAAGTAAAGAATGAACTACTTCAGAAGGGTTTTAGAAATTAAGAAAAATAATGTATTGCAAAATTGGTATTTTTTTATTGGTGAATATTAATTCTACGGACTACACTTCGTTATGAATTTTATAATTTAATTTACAAATTTATGTGTGAGGTATTTACTCTATAGAAACCGTAGAAAAAAATTGGTTGGTATGACAAATATTAGATACAAGCCACACATGTCTGGTGCCGGCCAGCCCTGGACATCCCTCGTGCAAGCAAGAATATTCAATAGAGTGYAAACAATATATTGTTTCATAATATAATTTCATAATTTATAATTCCACCTATAATATTAATAATTACAAAATCTTTATGCTGGTATGATATGATACATGTATGATATTAATGGCATATAATGGCCATTTTATTGTGCTTGAAGAATGTCAAATGATAACATTGGGTAATTAAAGAATTATCAAATTTTACATAATTACACTATAAAGTTATTAGTAATTTATACAGTATGAGTGGCCGCRTTGTATCGGATATACAACCATGAGGCGTAGCCGAGTGATTGTATATCTGATACAACACGGACACGAATACTGTATATGACTTATCAAACGTCTACTGGTTAGTTCCTTTGTGTTTCACTAAAATTTTCAAACTTAAAGTGAATTTGTCCAAGAAAATCCAACTTAATGTTTATGCAAATGAACACAGTTTTGTATCAGATTTACAACACTCTTCACGGTTGTGATTTCTGTTGTATTTTCCTCATGAATTATTCATGAGTTTGATAATAACATTTACTACCACTACCACAATCCCTTGCACACTTTCTTTGGTTTAAACGTGAATTAGCAACAATTGCCTTACTATTCTCATGAGGAAATACTTAACTTGAACAAGAAAAGAAATTTGCAAAGCAATTTGGTAGCAGTAGTAAAATAAAGTTATCATAATTTGCAAATGGGCTCTTAGTTTGAGTCCAAGTCTACAATTAAAACGTACAATGTATTTATTTAATTACTGTGTATACCAAGAAAATGTTTCAAATAAATCACAAAATGTGAACAGTGTAGTAGTGTGGTTGCAGTATTTTTGTACGTGGAATTTTCTTTTCAGAGATATAAACATTTGAAATATCAATATGCAAATGAGATGACGTAAATTCAAGACTAATTTATTATACAAAAATGCTGTTGTGGTAAGTACTGTTGGTTTTTTTGTTTTGTTTGCAAATCGTCCTTATATCTGAAATATATGGTTTTGTACACTTTTATGTTATTTCACTTTAGAACACTTTGTTGTAAATTACACTGCAAATTGTAACACATTCTGCAATATACGTCATTAAAAAATTTATATTTCAAATGTTTATATCTCTGAAAAGAGAAGTCAAACATACAAAAATATTGCAACCATACAACAACACTGTTCACAAGAAGATATAACTAGCTAAAAACTAGTGTGAGCTGCGTCGGTGTTTCTAATGAAACAGTAATGATGAAAAGGTAAATTATACACCGTGAAAAGATGAAAAAGTCACTTCTTTCTCTTTTACTCCGACGAAGGACTAGCGTCCAAAACGTCAGTAAGTTTTTTCATCTTTTCACGGTGTATAATTTACCTTTTCATCAACACTGTTCACATATGTGATTTTGAAAATATAATTTATTCCTTGATATACACTTTAAAGAGAGCTGTTGAGTCCGTGAAATTAAGAGTTATTGACTGTTTGGGTAGCATCCTAGTATGTTAATGTTCTTAATGTCTGTCATACAATGTTTCCCTCCCCACGGATGTCTGCTTATTTGAGCAGAAGGAGAGAATTGTTGAGTGACAGACACCAAAAATGTCTGCTCAGGAGGCTACTGTTTGGGATCCCAAACAAGAGTGATGCACTAAAATTTAGAACATAGGTCTGCGAGGATTCGCTGAGCTATCTGGAACTCCACCAAGGCCCAACCATGGCATCCAGAATTAAGAAAAGGTGCCATTAGGTCCTCTAGCATAGCTAACTGTGGCCACAATGTTGCAACCTCATAAGGCTCTAATTGAAGCATYATAAGAACCAAAAGTGGCAAGAGATCCTCAGCAGTCACAGCTGTGGAAAAGCTATCTTTACCCTCACGTGAACGCAACTCAGATACCTTGTCAGCAATTTTTCTCAGAGATGCAGTTAGACACTTGAGTTTTGAAACTGGGCTTGTGGCCTTAAATACATCCTTCATGTTCTGCAATGCAGGGCCAAAGTGGTACTCAAATGTGTCATCTTTCTGGAGTTCTAGAGTGGGGCTTTGGCTCTTTTCAGAACAGTTTATTTGATTCTGACTTTTTGATTGCCTTTGCTTGATAGAATCTCTTGTTGGTTTTTCTTTAGAGTCCCACTTATCTATCAGATCACTGAGTGACACTTTCGAATTCTGAGGAGCGCTGGTACTTAAATAATTACCACAAGACATAGGACGTGGTTTGGAGTTAACGGGTCCATCTTCTTTGTCATCATCTGACTCATCACTAGAGAAATCAACATTAAATGTTTTTGAACGTTCTCTGACAGTGTTGATGAAAAAGCTTCTGACACTGATGCAATCTGACAGTTGTTCTTTGCGGTTATTGACATTGAATGAGGTTATTCCAAATGGTAAATCAACATTGAGGCCATCTAGGTCATCTTCCCCTTCGTAACTTTCATCCGACGTTTCAGATTCAGAAGTGCCATTTTCAAGCCTGACAACTTGTGAAGATAGTTCCTCGATTTTGGCTCTTTGCTCGAAAATCTCATGCCACCATTCATCTTTCATTTGCAAGTCTAAGAGCTTGATTGGGAGTTTCTTCAATCTTTTAATGTCAGTTTCTAGATTTGCAACATGCTCGTGATGTGCGAGTTCATAAACACACTCAATGTATTGATGCTCTTTTTCATAGAAGCAATGCTCGTATGCAAGTCTCACTTTATTTTGAAACATCATATCTCGGCTGTTGAATTGTTCAGCAAGGAGCTCTGTAATTTTTTTTAAGTGGGCAAAGATAATTTTTTTGATTTCACCAAGTCTATGTCGATAAGACTCCACCATAAAATCATTCAAACTGCATCTACTGTTGCTCCCTCCGAGTTGATCCTCTGTTACATCTAAACTAAAATGGTTGATATCATAGTCCATCAGACAAGAATCATCACTCAGTTTACCCAAACCAATGAGTTCTTCACACATCCTGCTTATTTCGGAACAGAAACTCTCAAATGAAGCCCCTACTGGGTGGTCAGGGTTGTAGACGATTGTTGCAACTCTCTCRCTCAGCTTCTGCCACTCTGGATGATACCATGAATTTTGAAGAACTGTCAAGAAACCAGAATACCATAATGAAAATGTGAAATTAACTACATCAGTTATAAATGACCAGGTATTTTTTATGGTGCAGCTGAGGAAGGGATGGAGAACAGAGGTTATGGATTTTGTGGCCAAAAAAAGCAAACTACATGCAAACTTTGAGCTTATACCTTTAAGGATGTTCAATGGCATTGTTGGTGCACATCCTTTCTATGCATGAATTTAGTGTGGGCGCTCATGGTGATGACCAAATCRAAATTACATATTTTGCGTATGTTCATTGGAATATAATTTTACCTAATGCAATGGCTTCAAGTCCATAATTATAGCACAATAACATTTTATATTTCTGATTTTTAACACAAATTTCAAATGCTAACTAGTCATTTGGTTATTTTCTACAGTAGTCTTCTGTGAAAAATGGGAACAACCAATTTATTTTTTCATTAAAATATTACCTGTACTTATTTTTGACAGCTTTCCATGTTTACATGGTTCGCACGTTTGTACCGTAAAAAGGGTGAGCTTCCAAGTATTCTGAAGTCTAACCGAAGTTGGGGACCCCTGTTTTTTATTTGCTTATTTTACTCCTAGCATGATGTTCTTTCATAAAGCAAAATTTTWAAAAAATCTGACGATTGGATCTTTTGTCCATGAACGTCCTAAGGGGAGTTTCACCATTTTTACACTACTATTCTGGGAGCTTTGTAACATGATTTTGAGCCTTTTATCTAAGCTTCCAACCCCCTTAATATTTAAAACCATATGAGGAACAGAGGAATAATAAAAATGTAAATAATAGCAAATATAGTAAATAATAGTAAATCTACATATATTTTATATTTTATTTCTGAATGGATTTCTTACCATCAGTTGCTCTTGCTCCTTGTAAATCAGTATCATTAGCTTCAGCAAACCCYTGTGTGTTCAGGTCGTGCAGAATTTCATCTAACATTTCACGCACACTTAATGCACAATTCTGTAATAAACAAACACATCTAATAATTCTAATAATTTTTAAATTGGATAAAGGTGCAATTACAGTCGGGTAACAAAATCGAGCAACTTGCCAAGCATGTTGCAGAGCTAATGTTGCTCTTACAGTATTGCACCAAGTAGAAACTTGCTACTCCTTGCAACATTTGTTGCACATGGAGTAGTAATATGAGCAACGTTTCCTCTGCAATTTGCAATTAAATAATGTTGCACGATTTTGTTGCCTTACTTTTAGAGTACTTTTTTACATCATAAATCAACTTGCTATACCTTCTGCTGAACATATTTGCTTCGATCCTCTTTCATTTGCTGTACAGCCTCCCTTTTTTCCATATAGTCATCTATAATACGACATCCTTGCACTTCCTGTTCATCAGATATCTCATCTTTAACATTCACTAACACTTCTCTGGAAGTCACAAGTAGTTCGAGTTTATTATGTAGAAAATTCCTGCTTTCTCTTGCTTGATAAAGTTGCCCTCTGGAATCTGTGCTATGGTTAACTTCTAACCGTTGCTTGGCAATCTCAACTTCATTTTGGGCAATGTCCATCTAAAGGAAATTATGTTATGGTTCAACAGGCAGACAGTCATTTGCAGGGTAATAATTTATTGACCCTTATCATGGTAGCATAACATTATAAGATTTGATTTATCAGAAAAAGGAGTTTACTATGAAATTTGCCACATTGATATGGTAAAAATTCAAAGTTTCGTAAAGATTGCCCTTAAGATAACAAAGATATGAATCGTTAAATCTAAGATTATGTGTCTAGCCTGATAATGATGCTGTTAACGCATGCGCTGCATTACTGACATACATTTCTTTGTAAAAATRCTTAGTTTGAAAAGTTAATATCTTTGTCTTTTTAAGGGCAATCTTTACATGATTGTATGAAACTATGCAGTTCTACTATTATCAATGACAAATTTAATAATAATAACTCCTTTTTCCAATAAATCCATTATCTCATAATGTCACTCTAGCATGATAAGGGTCAATTATGTACTTTATGCCCAGCTGACACACGCTGGTTTACAGTCACAGTGTTGGTCAAGTGTCAACTGTATGTTGGCTGCCCGGGGCGGGGGTACTCTTGCCATTTTAGGGTAGGGATGTGCTGCTGAGCCCACTGAACCCTGACCCTGTTCCAGAGTAAAATCGATGAAATTCATACCTTGTTTCAGAGCAAGATTGCTGAAAACCATACCCTGTTCTGGTATTGCAAAAATAAATTCCCTGTTCCAGAGAAGAGAGAGGGTGATTTCATATACCCTGTTCCAGAACAAGCATGATCTTATTTACCCTGTTCCAGCTAGAGTCGAATCGCTGAAAACCATACTCTCTTTGGCAGCACGTACCTGTATAGTGAATATAGGGGAGTACCCCCCCCCCCGGGGTTGGCCGGCAGTTGGGTGACAGTACACCTAAATGTATCGTCTGGCCAGAAAGTACATGATTACCCATTTGGTGATGCAGACATATAATACTAAAAGATACCTGTTTTCTAGTTTTCTTTTCCTCGTGTTGTATATCCTCCAGCAGTAAATCAACAAACATTCGGGAACACAGTTTATCTTTGATCATGTCCTCAAGACTTGGGAGAAAGTTTTCTCGTTGTACATCCAACTCTTCTTGGATTACATCAAGATTCTAAATTGAAAATTGAAATCCATCAGATATCGCTTTTTTTAAACAGATCATTGACTGTACTGGTCAGATAGTTAGGCTTGAGAATAAAGCTTGAATATTTTCAGTTTTTCAAAGCTGTTTAATGTATGAACAATATGTGCCATAAATGCTGCCAGCTGCTTAAATCTTGATTTTTTTTCTAAAGAAATTATTGGTTTTATAGCTTTAAGTGAACATTTTCAAGTACAAAATAATTAATCAATTAATCATATAGCACATCTCACATCTCCTGCTGCCATTCACTACCTTCCCCCTCTGAGATAAAAAAGACAGTCCCATGTAGTCAGATGGTACATACCATGCAGTGTTGCTTAATTTTGGCATCCAGGGCTTCAATATAATGTATCTGCATAACCTTAGCCAATTCAACTTTTTCCACATCAGTTTTGTACAACGTTACTTTCGGCAAAACAAAGCAGTGAAGCATCCTAAGGATACTCAGCGAATCATTTTCAGACTCCTATATATGGCATGAGGAAAAACAATAAAAGTGTAAATTAACTCTTAAAGCAGCTTCAGTAGCTGATTCAGCTGTGAGTTATGGCATCTGCTAGCTTTCATAAAGGCTATGATGACCATTGATAGTAGGGTAGTAACCAAAGAATGCTTGTACTAAAGTAGTTAAACCATGAGTAATGCTGACTAATATAATTAAGTCAAATCCAACTAGTGTCGGCTTTAAAAACCAAAACTTCAAATTTAACTTTTATTCAAAAGTTGTTTGCATCTAATATTGGACCGTCTAGTTAKATTTAACTAAAACAAATAGTCCTCTCACAACAATGGCCTATGAGTCAATGTGATAGCCCATTTGGGTTAGAGGACTTAATTGCTAAACAATATCGTACCCTTGTTTCTTGGGTTGATTTGTTGATGACACTCCTTGCCAAATCAAACAGCTCATCTTCAGCATCATAACCTGAGCACTCTTCATTGATGCAGTATTGGTTTTGACCATTTCTTTCATCTGCAGTAGAAATGAAACAGTTGACCACTACTTAGCACAAACAAAATTCCACTTGAACCCCAACCCCTCTACTACCACCAGGGCTTAAAAAATGGACATTGGATGATGTCTGTCCAGAATTGGAACTTATCTGGTCAAATCTTAGCCTTGTTGGCTTACCTTCCTCATTGCTTTCAGTGGACCAACTAACTATCCTTTGATCACAGTCAATAGATACTGACTCTAATACCAGAACTTTACACCATATTGCAGGTTCCATGCGAGCCACTTCAGGGTATGAAAGAGTATTATTCTGTTCCCCAATACATGGGCAGAAGCCATCCTTTAAATGTACATCTGTCAACCAGCGCCTTTGATTTCCATTCTTTAAGTATACGTGCATCACTTCACAGATTTCTAAAATGCGGAAATTAAATACATGAACGTAGCTACAGTATATACTTAAATCATATACTCCTATGATTAAATTTCACTTATGTAAACATACTGAAAACTAATCTAATTAATAGATGGATCATCAAATTTCTCGTACCTATATATTTCAAAATATTCCAGTCCTAAATTCAATTTTTTATGACGTTTTCTTTTTGTTGCAAATGTTATGTGACAGTTTAATTGACTCATCAAAATTATTATAGCCTTAATCGGACATGTATTTTATCAGTTGTCCATTATTTACCTTATATGCCTCTAGAAGAAGTGGTCAACGAGCTTTAGTATTCATAACGACGATTTTTAATGCCACATTAGTTGGTACGTAATACGGAGGATATTATTATGCAAAGGCTTTGGTCACAAATTGCGAGAAAAAAGACACATCCGTACCAGCATAGAGCAACGCACGGAAGCCCCAAAACGAAATATTAAAGGAAAGAATTAACCACATAAATGACGTTCTTAACTGTGGATGTTTCAAGGGAGTCATTCATCCTTACAAGATCGAGATATGTTTTACGTCATGAGATAAGAACGTGAAATATAAATATCTTCATATTTTTTGCAAGACTGCACAATTAAGAGCTCACCTTCTGCAAAAAATCCCCTTCGATTAACCTTTAAAAATCCCAAATTAGCGAAGTAATCATTGAAGTAGGACTAAAGAATGTATACTCAGCGTAGCTGCAAAGGAATATAGCAGTATTCTTGAGTTAATACTTTCATTTTCGCTTTCAAAATTCAATTCTAAATGGCATAAGATTAATTTGTTTGTCAACTACTTTGCGGAAGTCAAAATATATTCCACTTCGCTTCCTGGTGCACTGTGGGTGCACAGGGAGCCCATTCCACTACTTCTGCTAAATGCTCTTTCTCCGAAAATATATTTTACTAAAATTCCCTATTACAAAAGAAAGGGATGGGAAAATTTGTCCAAAATGTAGTTATCTACAGCTATTCCTATTATCCACGTTTTTATGCAATATAATGGGTGAACGACCTTCGAAAAACGTCGTTCATTGCAACATATTATAGATCTTTGAGAATCATTTGGACGGAAACATTAAATATAAGAGTTATCATCATGAGTAATGCAAAAGGAATCCGTAAAAAAATAATATTTTTCCCTTTCCGGGTTCGGTGCTTTGGTATCTGCCTCAGTCTGGGCTTCCTGTGTATAAAAAGTCCACGACTGCGCATGTCCATATATTCCCGCCAAAATGCTAATTATTGGTTCAGCTTGATAAAAAAATTACGCCAGAAATTGTCAAAATTTTCTTGATTCTTTGGTTTTAAAGTAACTGAAACTGGAGAAACATTTCATAAGAAGTCTTTTTGTATTCGTTTAGATTATGAAAGAGAGGTTTTAGCCATCGTTGACCCCGTAAATCAACGTGTAAATATCCAAAATGGCGGAAGGGGCATTTCACACGTGATTTGTTTACTTCATTGCAATCCAATATGGCGACATCCAGTGGTGGGACCAAGATTTTGAAGTTTGTAAATGTCGACGATTCGAAGGAGGAACGATTGAGACGTGCTGCCAATGTTGCTTCAGAAGCAGAACTCGATGTTTTATGGATAAGTCCACGTGAGATTTTGAACTCGGACAACTTGGAAAAGGAAAGTTCATTTTTCGTTCTTGATCCATTTGAAGGGGAGCATTATGAACATTTGAAGTCTCAAAAATGTCGAATATTTGGACCACAGTGTGTCCTCTCTTGTTTACAGATTTGTTCTCCTCTTCCTTCGTTGTCAAATCCCATATTTACGATCAGTATGCATGGCATCTTTGCATGCTGTAGTAGTATTGCTAAACATGAGAGGCAGCGCTTGCATGACCAGATTCGTCTAATGGGAGGTGTAGTTATGAGAGACTTTACAGATACAGTAACTCATCTTATTGCTGGTGAAGTTGGATCAAAGAAATATGCAGTGGCGTGTAGTCTGGGAAAGCCTATAATGTTGCCAGAATGGGTATTCACCATATGGGAAGAGGGAAAGTCTAAACACGTATTGGCAACCGATAAACAGTTTGATAAATACAAATGTCCAGTTTTTAAGGGTTGTACAATATGTGTTACAGGGTTAGATGGGCCGACTCGGCAAGAGGTTAAAAGATTATGCAACAGTAATGGAGGAGTGTATTCTGGTGAATTGAGCATGAATACTTGCACACATCTTTTGGTGAACATGCCAAAGGGGGAGAAGTACGAGTTTGCAAGAAAATGGAACATCCATTGTGTTTCAACACTGTGGTTTTATGATTGTATCAAATCTGGGTTCTGGTTAGATGAGAGTTCGTATCGCACGCTGCCGGAGGATGAGACAAGTTTGTCACAACCAGGCTCTCRGCTCAATTTAAGTGCAACAGCAAATTCTAGTCAGGTTTCTTCAAAGTCAAGAACTGAAAGATTGAGCACCACAGCTGCTCAAGCAGCATATAAGAGTGCTAAGACACATGGTGATGGAGGCTTGATTTCAGATGAAACAAAGAAAAAGAAAGTACACAATGAATCATCAAGAAATCTCTCCAGCAAAACAATGAACAATACCTCTACAACCTATAACATGGACCTGAACTTTACTCTTAAACAAGGGTGCATGTTTCTTGATGGCTGCAAGATATTCCTTAGTGGATTTAGTGGAGCATTACTAGACAAGATAAGGAAGTTTATCAATGTTGGGGGTGGGACAAGATTTAGTGTGATCAATGAAAATCTTTCACATGTTATCATTGGGTCAGTAGTTACTAAAGATATTGAGGTATTGAAAGATTCTGATTTTCATCCACATGTGGTCACTGGTCATTGGATTATTGATTCAGCAAAGAATGGCAAGCGAATGCCAGAGGAAGGTATGCTGCTCAATAGACAACTTTCAATATTGTTTCTGAGTGGTCAAGCACGAAAAAGTATTTTTTTCGAGGCTTCCAATAATGTAATTGTGATTATTCTTTTGTTTCCCAAGAGCCTTGACTCAGATTACTATACCAGAATATTAAAAGTTGACTATTCTATTTATTAGAAGTAACTTTAGTTTTGATAATTTTGATATAATTCTAGTTTTTTTAGAACAGATGTGATTATAATAGCTGTAACAAATTAATGGTAATTTAAGCAGATGACTATTCTCTAAAGAATAAGACTCTTTGTTTGAGTTGTATCCATATCCATATGTCTTCTCATGGGTAATGATACTCCTGGGAATGACACGTGGTCTGCAATTGGAAAACATAATTGCACCAAGACGATTTACTGTAAAGTAGGTCTAAAGTCATAAAATGGTAACATTCAACTTCAGCATTCATTATCTTTAAATCCTGTCATATTTCTTGCTTCATGCTCTACCTCCCTTTAGTACTTGAGTAAGCAATTATCTTCTAGTAAGTTGGTGAAGGTGACTTGGTGCAAGTTTGAAAGATATTTGTTAGTCTTTCTACTTTGTTTTAGTGGGCTAAATAATGGTCGGTCATTGGACAATGTCCAGTAAGAATTAGAGTTTGTCTGGTGAAATCTTTGCCTTACCAGTAATGAGGTATGACCATAATAAAACTATTTGGCCAGTCATCATGATTGGCGTCTGACCAGCCATTAGTTTTAGCGCTAGGAGCATGATGCTAAGACATCAAAGCTATATATCTTTTAAAAGTTTACACATAGCTAAAGGAGTGCTGGGTTAGTTCTGAGTGTGTAAATAGAGTAAACATAACTAAAGTATTAGATAAATATGTCTTGACTGTTCACAGATTACATCCATCCTGACTTTAAGATGGAATCAGATGAATCAACACCAAGTTCCAAGGAGAACAAAGACCCAGCTAAGAGCAATTATAAACAATCTGAGAAGAAAGAAATAAATGGAATTAAGTCTACAGCTCCTGGAAAGCAGAAAACTACAAAACCTGAGTACGATGATGGTCTCAATGATGATGAAGTATTCCTACAGTATAGTTCTACCATTGACTATCGACTGGATAAAGACAGAAGAATGCCATCAAACAAGTCAGCCAAGGAATTAACAGAAGATGAAGATACAACTTTTGATAATGAGCAAGAAAATCATGCTTTGCTGTCGGGGAAATGTTTCATCATTGAACACTTTGATGATGAGCAAAGTGAACATCTGAAAAAGTTGATAGAAGAACATGGCGGTAGAGTCGTAATGAGAAATGAATGCAAACCAGCAGATTTTGTAGTTTTACCAATGAATTCAAAGTGCAGTTCAAGTCTTGGTAAAGAAATGGTAAATAATATTTTACTTCTATCAATAAAGAGTGCACTTTTCTACCTTTTTCTTTAGAAGTTCAAAGTAAGTCTGGTGCATAGGATTTTCTGAGTGAATTTGGGGATAGAAGAGATATGTATAAATAATAATAATAAATAAATAATGGGAATTTTAACACACAGAGTGGCTCTTCTTCCACTGCATTCCAATCGAAATTAAAAGTTGATTTTTGTGGAGGGAGGAAATTAGCCAGAGAACCTAGAGAAAATCCTTGAAGCACATGAGAGAATCAAAAAGGTGCCCTACTGAGTCGTGGAATCAAACGTGGGCTGCATTGTTGAGAGGCAAGCACCTGTGCTTCCATAAATAAATAGCAGAGCTTCTGTCTCATATCCCTATTATTTTAGTCTTACTCCTGTTTATTATTTTTATGGCAGGTTACTTTCTGTTGGCTTGAGCAGTGTATTCAAGAGGGAGAGCTCCATGATCCTGATAGCAACTTTGTTTTTAGGCCCTTCATTATCCCGAAAGGTGTGTCACCTTTAAAGGACTGTGTAATGACTATCAGTCAATATGTAGGGGTAGAGAGAGACCATTTGATGCAGCTTGCTGAAATACTAGGTAYGTCTTAGCAGTTTATTTCACTTTTTTCTTCTTTTCCGATCTTGTTTATTATGAGCTCATTCTATTACCACTACAGGAATGCTTTATCAAGTCTTAAATTTGAATTTTTTAACCGGCACATGTTGCACACCTACCTACATATTAAAGATAATATATATAATAATAATAATAATAATAATAATAATACTATAATATTTATATAATCATTTGATCACCATGTAAGTATTAAATTATTATTATTATTATCCTACAAAGAATGGAATGATAATAGTAGGTTTCATTGTTTAACAGTGGCATTTTCACACAGAAACTTTTCAACCACTGAATTCCAATTGGAATTGAGAAGTTGATTTTGGCAAAGTGAGAAAAACTGGAGAATCCAGAGAAAAGCCCTTGAAGCACAGGACACCAAGTCTGGGAATCTAGCCCAGGCCGCCTTGGTGAGAGTTGAGCTCTCTCACCACTCTGCCACCCATGGTTGGGTTTTTTGTTTTGCATTGTCTTTTTTTTTGTCTTTTTTCCTTACCATTTTTCATTTTAAAATGAATTGCAGGGGCTAATTGTCAAGAAACCTTTGTCCACAAAGCCAATAGGAGGTACCTCGCCAGCACCCATCTTCTTTGCCAAGAGCCWGAAGGAAGCAAATACGATGCAGCTCTTAAGTGGAACATTCCTGTTGTTACACGTGAGTGGCTTTTTTCCTGTGCAGAGTCTGGCATGTTACAGCAAGTTGGAGATTTTCCACTCAGGGGTAATGCTAGTACAAGGCACACCAAAGCTGACAGGAAAGGAAATGTTGATCAAAAACTGGAAGACATTGAGGATCAGGATGAATGTCAAGAAGGACTAGTGGTAGAAGCTCTTAACGGTGAACAAATAGATCAAGAGATGGAATCTGTGAATGGAAGTTCTAAAGGTCTTATCGTAAATCATCCAAACCTGTCAACAAAGCAGCCGTTTAGACCTTCCTTTGATGTGACAGATGTGATGCAGGCATTAGAATCTCCATTGTTACCAAGCATCAAATCTAGGAAAAGCCGTAGCAGTCGCAACAGTTTTGCATTGGATGGATTTTTTGAAGAAAACATAATAAAAGCTGTACAAAGGACTGGTAATCTTGGCAGTATGCAGCCTTCCAGCACTGAAACCCATAATAATGACAAGAATGTGGAGACAAACAATGAAGAGGTATTATAAGGGTGTTACTGTGTATTTGGCAGGAACCTTACAGCTGTAGAACCAAAATGCACTTGTTCAAATTCTCCCTTGTTCTCCATCTTTTGGAGACTTGCAACACCATCAGGTTACATTCTTTGTATTCTTCAGGGGCCGTGGAGGAGCTGGTGCAGGGCAGCCTCCTGTACTGTGCACCCTTCCTTCCCACTTTTTGGGGTTATGAAGCACTTGGGGATTGGAAGAACACTTGAGAAGTGTCAAGAAGCGCTGTGCTTCATGCTTCTCCTAACACTTCTCTTGTGTTCTGCCAACCTCTACAATGCTTTTTAACTGCACACAACACAGTTCTTCAATATTATATTGGTATGCTGTAACAGTATTTTCCCTATTGTTGCTGTGTCTATTAGGAAGATTCAGAAGTGGGCATACTGCATGGTGTTACTGTAGCTGTAAGCAAGAAACTTGGCCAACAGCAAACAGAGTTGTATGGCATCGCATCAAGCCTTGGGGCTGACTATCGCTGGCTGTATGATAACTCTTGTACTCATTTAATTCATCAGGTATTGGTAGAATGTTTATATACCATCATGCTATGATAGGAAATTAATTATGTTATCAATCTATAATACTATACAAACAGTTATCATTACTTTCAAGCCTTTCATCCTGTCCAAACAAATGATTTATTTGGATAGAATTGGTACAGCCCTTTAAATAATATCCAATACAGTGTCATCCAATTTTGCTGTACTTAGATGCAGTATTAACACGACTCTTTTTTTCTTTTTTATCCAGGGTAAGGCAAATGACAGTTCTAGAGATGTCTCCTTGGCCAAGGAACAAGGAAAATACATAGCATCACCCCATTGGTTACATGCTTGTGCCGAGGCAAACAAAAGACTAGACGAGAATCTCTATCCCCACACTTATAACCCAAAGATGTCATTACATGGTGTAACAAAGGAAAGAAGGTTAACTAGAGCATCAAAGGTAAAATTCTTACAATAACAATATTGTACCTTTGACAGCAAAACGTATGTTTCTAAACTTTCTCATTTCTTAATCATGCATAGAACAGTATATCCAACTTCAAAATTCCAACCCCCCTTCTTGTTTGGGGTTAGGGTTTGTCAGTCCAATAGCATCTTGTTCTCATTTTATCCTTTCATTGTAAATAGGCAGCACTTGAAGAATCAGTCAATGAGGATACCTCCATGAATGAACCTGAAGCTGCCGCAAGAATAGATGATCCTACCAGTGTCGATGCCAAGGTTTCTTTTAGTACTGACACCAGTAGCAACCTCAGTGAAGAGTCTAGAGAAGCTGGCAAGAACAGTAAGGAAATCTCACAAAATTCCAAGCAAGACAGTGAAGTGTCAGACCCCAAAGAAGACTTTCAGAAGCAGATTGAGAACTTTATTTCTGCAAATAAGGTTAGTATGATGGTGACTGTTGCTGCTTGAGACCAAATCATGGGTGTATCCATGCTCACTGCAACTTTATTGTTTAGTTATTTACAATGTAATTTGTTCAAACTCAAAAATGTCTATTGCTTCAACATTTGGTAATTTATTTTGATCACAAAATGCTATGTTAATTGCAACTGATAATCCTTGGCCTGTATTGTAGGGTACAAGAGGCCGTAGAAGAAGCAGAAGACTGACCTCCTGTAGTGCGTCTAGCTCAACACCTCTTAATTCTGTTGGTCAGTCTTATGAAGGAGACAATGGAGGTAGACTAAGCAGTCGGCATGCCGCATCTAGGTTGAGAACTCGCAAGAACAGTCAGGTAAATAGTCATGTGTCTATTTTAATAATAGCATTAAAGAAATAATACTATAGAGAATTATTACACGTGGTCTGGAACTGGAAAACGTTATGCCCAAGCTAATGAGGTGTATTAGCAGTTGTTTTATTCAGATTTGCTGCGGGACTTTTGTAACTTAAACATTTCTATCTACAGAGAGATCTTGACAAGTTAGGAGACAATGCAAGTGGTCGTAAGCACTGTGATGAGAATGAAGCATCTCAGAGCGACACCATCACCTATGACGATCCTGCTGGGAGGCTAGAGAGAGAGAAGATCATGGAAAGGCTCAAAAGAGGCTGCAGTCCAAGCTCTGATGATTTTGTAGAAAGTCACGAAGAGAATGATGATGAAGATGACAATCAGGAAGATGATAATGTTACAAATGTAGGTGCATCAGAAATACGGTATTTTAACTCATAAACTGACGTTTAGATATCTGTACAGTTCGTTCAAGGTTGTACAAAGGTTACTTTCAATTGGCTTTCCCACTAAACCAATCAAAAAGTGGCGACTTTCAAATGGTTTGGTTCAATCAATCAATTATAGAGCTTTGACTTTGGCTTTCCTACTACCTAATCAAAAAACCCGACTTTCAAATGGCTTTCCTGCTGTTCAAATGTAAAAACAATTAATTTCAAATAGCTTTTTTCATTGAACCATTGAAAAGGACGAGACTTGCGAATGGATTTTTTATTGAACCAATCAAAAAAAGCCGACTTTCAAATGGGTTTCCTACTTAACTAATCAATAAGCCTCGACTTTCAAATGGGTATCCCCTTAGGAACCAAACGGGGGGAAACGACAAATGTCAATTGCGTTTTTCCTAAACCTTTCAAAAAGCCACTACCGTGTAAGTGGCTTTTTTTAACCATTCAAAATGTGGTGACTTTTCATTTTCTTTTAACCAAATTAGAAAGCTGACAATGCTGAAAATGATCAGAGAAGATCGTCATCATCTCTTGCGGAACAGCTAGCAATTGTTGGTGCATCAGATAACGTAGACTCAGAAAGCTCACAAAGCACCCAAACACCGGTACCTCCTCCATTGACCATCCAGTTGAAGGATGTTCAGAAACCAACGCCACAGAATCTTTTAGAGGTATATTTCAGGATTATTTTATTTACTATTTTTCGATAGGTCAGCTTGTGCCCTGCTTGCGAACAAACGAGAGGTGGTCCTCAGTTACCTAACACACTTGTGTCAAGAGAGCATAAATAAGAGAGGGAAACTTTTTGATAACGCGCGCGCACGTAATTTCCGGTTGGGCTATTTTTAGTAACCGAATGCAGTTTAAATACCGCCTTACTCTACTCCTGTGCGTCATTGACTTGCGCGCGCATGCTCTTTCCGCTTATTGTATCGATAAAAGGAAAAAGGAAAGAGCGCTCGCGCAGAAGGTGATGACGCACGGGAGGAGGGTAAGGCGAAATTTAAACTGCATCCGGTTACTAAAAATAGCCCAACCGGAAATTTACATGGCATTTATACATTTATGCTCTCTTGCTTGTATTCATTTCTTGTCCTACGTATTTTTCTTTCACATGCAGTGGTGAATCCAAGATTTTCAAAGCTTCTGAGGGAAGGGGGAGGAGGGGTTCCAAGATGGCTGTCACGCAGAAAAAATTGGCAGGATGGGCTTCACAAAGGGGGGTTTAATTTCATTCTACTGAGCATAAAGATATGATTGGCTTCACACGATCTCAAAAAGGAGGTTCCATGGATTCCTTCRGAACTGCTACTGACATGGCTTTCCTTCTTATCTTTTTAAAAACTCTGCTATTGTTATCAGGAAATCGAGAAAAGCCAAGATAAACCAAGGAAGGTCCTAAAGTTCCAACTGTCTGCCATGACCCCGCAAGAAAAAATCGATTTCGCAGCCCTGATAGAGGAGCTAGGTGGACAAGTGTTTGATACCCAATATTTCAAAACTGACTGTTCTCATGTCGTTGTTGGAAAACCCAACAGGTATGAATATTTGAATGTAAGGTAGATGCCCTATCTTCGAAGTAGTCCATTGCGTTGTGCTGATTGCAAGCGAACTATATCTGGCTGCAAATAATGTACATGCTCCTCAAGATTGCGCAGTAGTATTAAAACCAGGAAACACTTAATTTATTATTGAATTATTGGGAATGCGCATGCCTAATGACATGGTCAACACCGCTGGCCTTAACACTTTAGCTTGTTCAGGTCGTCTTTACTTATATWTTTTTTTCAATGGGATTATTCAGGAATGAAAAATACTTAGCAGCAATGGCAGCTGGGAAGTGGGTTCTGCACAAGTCATTCCTGGAAGATAGCAGGCAAGTTGGCCATTTTGTTGACGAGGAACCTCATGAATGGGGAACTGATGTGCCAGGAGAACAGCCCAACAAGTTGGCAAAGGCAGCCAAAAGGTGGCGAGTTAAACTACAAACAGAAAGAATGGTAAAGAAACAATTATCGTTCTAAATTAAAATGGCACAATCTCATACCCAGAGTCCACGTCCCTCACTGACCGAGATGGGCTCTGGGTCCGAGATTGAAAATTACAGTCATGGAAACTACAAGCGTGCGCGCGCACAAATGCTGCATTTTCAAATGTCAATCCCCTTGATGCGAAAAGGGGTCTTTGCTATTTTTTTCATTCTTGGATATTTATCGTTTTGATCCAGACATCCGACAAGCAACACATTGGCGCCTTCAGTGGTTGGCGCGTGCTGTTATGTGTCGACAAGCTACGACAGCCAGGCTTCAAGAGGCTTCTGGAAGCAGGAGGGGCTCAAGTGGTGGGCAGTCGACCTCCTTTTAATAATATTAGCAACGTTACCCATGCGTTTATTGGTAAGAATTAACCTTCATCTAATCTTTGTTTCCGGGTGCGATATGCATGCACTGTTAATGCGCGGTGTTTTAGACGTGTCTTGAGCAGTTTCTTGTTTCTCTCCTCTGCTTCAAGAGTTGTCTCTCTACTTACATTCATATACATACATACTACGTTCTTTATTTGGCCACGCAGATTCATATATGGGCAGCCAAAGAAGCTGATGTGGATCTTCAGCCTCGAGGGCCTGCATTATCTTGCAGGTCCAGTCTAACAAGTTTTCCTTTCTCCGGAAAAACACAATATATCTTTCCAAACTCTTACCGATAGTCAAATTTATAATAGCTTATAATGTGGTGTGAAATGGGAAAACATTCCTCCCTTTCCTTCTAAAAGAGTTTCCCTCGTTGGCGATTTTTTTGGCAGAGAATTTATTCCCTCCCAAGAATAGCCAACGAGGGAGACTGTTTGAAGTGAAATTCCACCCAAGCTTACTCGATATTTTTCAATTTAGATTCAAACAAGATGAAACCCGATACTGTAGACATCGAAGCACTTTACAAGGAAAGGATATGGCTAGTAAAACCTGACTTTATTGCCGAGTTTTTAATGCAAGATCCAGAACCACACCCAGGRCGATTCCTCATCCCAGAAGCTATGGCACTAAGTGATAGGTTGGACACTTCAGAACAGAGGAAAAGAAAAGGAGATGAAATCTCGATGGATGAAAAGAGAGCACGATTAGAATGAACGACGTTAGAATTTTTGTTATTGGTGAAACTGTACTGCGCATGCTTGGATAACTAGTCACCTGGTACTGATGCGTATTGAAAGATAAAAACAAACAAACAAAAAAGAAAACAATGATCAGAAAGTATTGCGAAAATAAGCACTAGCTTTGACCCCTTTGATGTATCGTCAAAGTAGTTCAATTTGGAGGATAAAACAAGATAATTTCAATGTCATGAGAATTGGACACCTATGGTTATGTCCTCCAAATTGAGTTGTATTCTGATGTGCTGCACGGGGCCTATACGCGGCTTCGTTTCCTCCCGCCAATTTTCCCATACATGCGCAGTACTTGTTTTATCAGTCTCAGGCGTTTCGTACTTAAGTACTGAAGTTCGTTACCTTCAGAGTGATATACACCTACTTGCAAGAACGTTGTCATACGAAAATAGAACAGTGATTTAGTGGGATAGGAATTATATTAAAAAACAAAAGAAGATCACTTAAGCTGAACTTTTTCTTTTATCTTTTAATGTATTCCTTTCTCACTAAATTACTAATGTTCTAATATCGTATGACAACGTTCTCGAAAGTAGGTGTACATACATGCTCCCCGTAACTGAATAAGTTACGTTTTTAAACTGCTTGTATCCATATGGGTGGGAGATGTTCATAGTATTGACATCGCGAATCTTATTTCTTTACTTGCGTCGATACCTATCCATCTGGAACGACGCTTTCCTGTCTCTATACCTAGCCATATACATCCCCTTCCGTCCCCCAATGCAACACCTCTTGGCTTTCCCAAGAAGTGTTCAGTGTAACGATGTTTTGTACTTATAGACCCTTTCAGCTTGTTTTCCCATTTCAGGCCAGGGCTCATTCACAAGAGTATCATTTCTTTGTTTAACGGTTACGCACGAGAAGCCACATGAATAAGGATACGACGAGGAATCTTGTTTTCAAGGGGAAATTTCATACTACGTGTCACTTGAAGGAATGACGCGTGGTCTGAAATGAAAATACATTACGCCCTTTCTGAAAGTGTCTATTACCCAACAGCTGCTAACGAAAACAGTTCTAAACAAACTAACATCAAAAATGTTTTTTACTTTATTTTTACCAAAGTRGGTTTTGTTCTATTTTTGTACATACAAATTATATTATAGAGTGGTCTTACTTGGCCCGTGAAAGAATAGTGAACATATTGCATAGTAGTTAATACACACGAATTCCATTGTTTTCTTTCGCATTACTTTGCCTTTTTGTCACTGATTTAACAACTTTGTTTCACGGGCGAAATAGCGTCACTCTAACGTGGAAAAATAAACGTACTGTATACGAAATCATAGCGATCCCCCTCCTCTTATGTGATCCCCCAGGGGTTGCGACAGATCAGAGTAAGAACGTACTTTCTTTTCCAAGAGGGAAGAAAAACTTTTCAGATATTTCGATCAATAAAAGTTCATTTTAAATTGGCCAAAGAGACAGATAAATGCCTTTGGTTCGAATATTTTGTTGAGTGTACTATAAATGAAAAATCGCAAGACATTCGTAAAATGCATCGCGCAATTAGAAGGACTTTCAAAACATCACTCGTACCTATTTGTAATAAGGAGTTGTACTCGAGGTCGTGCGATTTCCTTTAGGACGACAAATATACGTACTTAGGTCCATAGGGGACATTGCTGCAAATAAAATGCAGTGAAGTTAAAGCTTTTGTCAGTAAACTGTTTCTAGGACGATTTATGCTACAGCTAATCGCTTGCACTTGAACACTCACGGGATCGGTTGAAAAAGAAAGGCCATTTCCTATATATAGCTAGCTGTTATAAACCATACACAGGAACCTTGTTTGGGCTACCTGTGGTGTATTGGACCAGGAACATCGGCCTGCACCAGTCTCCCTGATTTTGAACATGGCGGCCGCTATGCAAAAGTTTCCTTGGCTGGAAACGTTAAAAAATGCTCGAAAAACAAACCTTGTGCAAGATGGTAAGCTTTAATTCTCTTTGCTCTTATCTCATTTCTACCGTCAGAATTAGAAAACACTAAATTATGCGCATATGCTAGCATTTTAGGTTCTTAAAATGTCCTTTGACACTCTTGTCTTCTTTTATTATAAACTTCGCAACTCCAACAAGAGTTTTCATTTATTTACTTATTGTTATTGCCATTGAATAATTTAACTACGAAGCTAATTCAATTTAATACAGAACAAAGTTTTGGTCTTTCATTAAAGTGTATTAGAAAATTTCAAAAGCAAACGACATTATAGCTGGTTTTGTTCTATTTTCTGAGCTAAATCGCTTTAATCTTTTTCTTAGCCTAAAAACTCTTGAAAATATTCACGCTTTGTAAAGAAAAATTCCTATAAATAAGAATGTATATCAGAAAAATGTTACACAATTCAAAGACATTTCCTAAAGATGTGTTATGATTAAATTTTAATCTTAATTCCTTATTTTAATTTAATTAATTAATTAATTTTTTTTTTTTTGAAACAGGGAAAAGAAAGGTACACTACACTTTTCCAGACCACACAGAAATGGTAGAAGAATATGCCCTATCATCTGGGGATCTCATTGGTGAGTAAAGCTGTGAAGGAAACAAAATTTCCTAGCTACAAATGTAGTTTATAAAGGACAAGTTATCGGTTGCCATGGTAGCCAAGGTAAAAGTTTTGTTTTTTATGCTGAGCATATTTTTTGTCTATTTAAGAATTTTTCTAAATTATTCATTCGCATTAGCATTATAGTACTAAAGGAGAACTATCGAGAATATCTCCTAAGATCAAATTGGAATTTAGGAATAATATATCTTAGCATGGGATTGAGTAAAATCAGCAATTAATTTGACATGTCTAAAACATTTTCTATGATTACCCAAGTTGCTAAGTTATGGATCTAGTTTTAAAACTTGTAAAGCACAAGTGGAATTAATTAATTAATTTTTATTAGTTTCACAAGGTATCCTCTATCATCAGCCAATCTTGTCTAATAAAACTTTTAAGCTTTGATGTTCAATTTATTTTTGTGAAACATTTTAAAATGAAGAAATAGAAAACACGCGCGCGTTCTGTGTGCTGTCATAAAGCACGYGGGGGTTGGCAGAACACGATAGAAGTGTTAGGAGAAGCACAATGCGTAGCAGAGTGCTTCTGAACACTTCTTGAGTGTTCTGCCAATCCCCAAGTGCTTTATGACTGCACACAGCACAGCAAGCAAGTTTTTGATTTCTTTCATAAAATACAAATTACAATAATAGGTAGGAATGACGCAACGAAAAGTGCGCACGCTTGCAATGTGCTCTCATAAAGCACACGCTCCAAACCAATCAGAACACGACATTCATAACAGTTATTTTATAAAAAGTTTTAGCCATTTTATTATAAAGATAATAATTTGAAGAAGGATGAATTTGTATTTTTATGGATGTCATAATTTTTTTTATTTTACAGTAAGAAAATTTAAAAAGAGAAGTACACTAGGAAAGGAAGGAAAATGGGAGTATGAAGTTGGTGAAGATCTGCGACCAATGAATGCTGACTCCGAACATATTATGGAAAGTGTAACAAATGTAAGAGGATTAAATTATTTCATAACCCTTAATGTTTAGACCAAATTGACTGTATRAAAGAATGTAAATTTAATAAGTCAGATGCATACATTTTCTATTAGATTTTAAGACACACTGCTAATGTGGCCACTTTGGCCTGTCCCTTTAGTAGCCGTATTAACCAGGTTGTCCATATTACTTATATGAATCAATCTTTTGATACGTTGCAGCCAATAGCAACACGAAAAGATACAACCAAAGCCTTTCAGTGGAGAATAAGAAACCTGCCCTATCCTTTAGATGTGTATAACATCACCATTAATGAGGAGAAGACGGCAGTTGTCGTGAGAACTACAAATAAAAAGTGAGTGTAAGACTGAATTTTTTTTCGGTGTCATCCCTGTGATAAGAAGTAAAGCAAAATACCTTTCTCCAACTCACTTGAGTGACCACAAAATGATGCTTCCAAGTGGAGTTTCAACTTGATAAAATATAATAAAGTATGAACACATGAAGTCCCAATTCCTCTTAGAACCTTGTGAGCCATTTGTTCATGGTCATGCAAGTAAATTCATGAAGGGTCTATTGCAATTTGAATTATTTTTCTAGGTATTATAAGAAGTTCAGCATTCCAGATATGGAGCGTGCCAAACTACCACTTGAACAAAAGTCCTTGAGCTTTGCTCATGCAAATAATACCCTTATCATAACTGTAAGTATTTCTTGGGGATAAACTTAAAGGCCTTGTTGCATGAGGCAATTTTGCTTCCAACTTTTAATGCTGTTGTGCAGCAAGTTGCAGAAGAGAATGCACATATGACACCCTCTCTCTGGATCTTGCAATGCTATGTTGCAAGTTGCAGAAGCAGTTGAATGAGCTTTTAAGTTTCACAATGTTGTGAAACTACTAAGCTGCAATCACAGTTACAAATGACCAATTAGAGCTCAGCTCTTCCATATCCCTACTGAGATATCCAATTTATTTGCAGACCAAGAAAGCCTTGCATTGCAAGTTGCAAAGAGAGTTGCGTGCATCTGACGTCTCACCTGCAACTAAATGCAATGCTCTGCTTTCATCCGCATTGCATTGCAAGTTACAAGAAAAATATTGCCTCATGTAACAGGGCCTTTAAAATTCTGCTGGCAAAGGTCTCGATAAAAAACTGTTTATATTCCTCATTCATAATTTTCATGAATTTCACTTCATTGTGTGTTKTTTTTTTTTTTTTTTTTTTTTTTTTTTTTTTTTTTTTTTTTTTTTTTGGAATAAATTTCAGTATCAAAAGCCACCATTAATACTGGAACAAGAAAAACTTATACGACAAGAACTGGCAAAAAACAAAACTGGTGATGGTGATCTTGAATGTAAACCAAGTTAGAACAAGACACAAGTAACCTCTGTTTTGTAGATTATTTATGCTAATTTTTCTTAAGATTAGGAGTAACAGTTTTATTTACAATTTACAAAGTATGGWATCACTGTATTCTCTGGGTTCCCTGTGGTGAGTGATAACACAGGTAACCCAAGAACGAAACCCAAGAGAAATAATTTATTTGTTTTCACTTCATTGGTTAATCATCAGAGCTAATCATGAATGAGTTATCGCTTGTTTGTGATTAAAAAGGAACAGTTAACATGAAAAATGCAACCATGCTGGAGGACAACCTAAAGAAATAAAAGATCCTGTACATCATTCAGCGTAACCAGCACCATATATACATCCTCGGTTATCTGTATGTTTTATCCTTCTCAATCTCRAAACTATTTCGTTACATAGAGAACTTGATAGTAACCACGGAAACGGCAGCCATATTGGATGACAGCCTAATCATTTATTACAGACATCAGCTTGTTTTCTTCCACTTATGATTTCAAAATTGGTTTGTTTCTAAAACACTAGACTTGAGAGTTAACATGGAAAGGCCAGTCGTATTGGATGACAGCCTAAGAATATACAGTCATTTATTGCAACCTTCCTCAGTTACCTGTTTGATTTCTTCCTTTGTATCAGACACTAGGCTTGTCAGTTACAATGGAAAGGGCAGTGGCATATTGTATGACAGCCTAAAAATATCATTTATTACAACCTATTACTTACTTCCTCAGATACCTGTTTGCTTCCTTCCTCTTTTAATTTCGTTTGTTTCCCAGACAACTTGACGGTGTCATAGAAATGCTATAAAAGTTTGAAGTGTTTGTATTGTCAATGTAAACATCGTCTGGTTCTTTGAACGTATGTTTCTTTACCTGTTTCATTATCATAATGCATATTTGAGTATGGAGTCCTTAGTAATTATTAGTAGTCAAACGTATTTCAAGGCCTGTTTTGTCTTACGCTTTTTCTTTTTTAACGAGCTTGGAAATTGTAAGAGTGTTTTCAAAACCTTCTTTTTAACTGGAGCCAAAGCGATTGGCGAGTCTTTAAATATTGTTCAAATTTCTACTTACAAGGGATTGTCAGAAGATTGCGTGGTCTTATATTCTCGTAGCCATATGGACGCCAAGACATTAGAAGTGTGTTTTTCTTAAGTGATTCTAGAGTTGCGTGTGGGCGAATACTCCTTTGATTATATTAAAGATGTGTAAAATGTATCCACAATACAAATACAGGATGAATACCATTTTTAGTTTATTTAACTTAACAACATTTACAGCCTATCTCAATCACACGCGCCGCTCTCAGATTGTTTCTGTCGCGAAGAAGAAGCTTTTGGTGGACGTCAATCAAGGCGTTTCCATGACATTCCATAGGCACGTGCCCTCATAGCTTTGTGCGGTTTTCCGACAACAGGACAATGTTATGTAAACGCCTTGTGATTGACGTTCACCAAAACCTTCTCCCGACAGAAACAATCGCTAGGGGGCGCGTGTGATTAAGAATGGCTGTAAAGCTATAGATAAGTTTTTCAAAGCTCATGGTATGAGTGTGCATTCTATTGGTGATTAGTGAATTTATTCAGTCAAGCAGTCAGTCAGCAGTCAATCAGTCAGTCATCATCTCTCTCTCACTTTAGTTTTTCCGCGATAACAATTAGATTTTTAGATAAAACGTATCAAAATGTATCAGCGTTTATTCCTTTTTACCAAATTTCTGCGTTCCTATTGGTCAGCGCTTTGGGGCGTTTCCACTCCTGCGACTCTCCCTCTTTGACGCTTTTCACTTCTTGGTGCACTGAACAGCACGCAGGCTCAAGAAACGATCGTTTTCCTTATTAGGTAAAAGTCGTTCCCCTCCCAACAGTAACCGCTGTCATTCGTCGATTATCTAAATACGGGCTCAGTCTTGCACTATTAATTTCTGCCTCTTCCTTTGACCCGATAGAAGACACAACGACTCTACGGTCCTCAAGCGGGGAATTTATTGGCGAGGGTCTTAGAACGTTAGCAGGTGGGGAATTTGTTCTGCTTCTTAAATTCATTGTCGTAGCGTTGATACGAAATACTTCTGTCTTGTTCTGGTCGGGGTAAAACAAGATTATCCGTACTTTAGGGAAGTATATTATACAGAGAACTCCGTATGCGGGCCCCAACACGGCTAGACAATTCACGAACGTTCTGTTACTTCCGGTAGAGCTGTAAAACGCGGGTAAAAGGCCTGATAGAAAAACACAAAACGAGAACATTGCGAATCCGATGAACTTTGCTTCGTTGAAGTTCTCCGGTAGCGTTCTCGCTCTGTACGCGAAATACGTACAAACTAGAGCAAGACCTAGGATATAGATCAAAACGATGACTAAGAGAGTATCGTCACTTGTGCTGCAACTGATGATTCTGCTGTTTTCGCTGTAGTTCAAGACTATTACCGAAGGTGGTCGAAACAGATACCAAAACGAACAGGTTACCACTGGGATGAATGTCAGCGCTACAGAAGTCATGATCTGCATTTTATTGGTCAGTAGGTGACTGCGTGAAGATATCCTGTTCTTGGCGCGGAATATGCGCAGTAGTCGATCAGTCTTTAGAAGGGTGATTGACGTGCTAATAGTGAATAGGATTGCGAAGTATAGGGGTCGAACTCCACACACTATTCTATTTGGTTTGCCGATCAGTACTAAAGGATATGTAAATATTAAGAACATCACTGCGAGGTGAATCAGGGAAAGCTCTCTATTCGACGCTTTCACAAGAGCAGTTTCTCTGTGCTTCACAAAAATGGCTAATATTGTTAACGTAAGGAGACCTCCAAATATTGAGACCATCGATACGCAAAGCGCTTGGCCGCTTGACCAATCCATGTACACTTCCGTCATCTTAACACAGCGCGTACGATTAACATTAGACTCGTATCCCTCGGGACATCTGGTACAGGGGCCTTGCCCGCGGGATTCCTTCGCGTACCCACCAGGACATTCAACACATGTCCAGCAACATGTAACGCTCCCATTCACAGAGTATTTCCCTGGAGAACACAGATCATTACATTGAGATGTAGGGATTTCTTTCTCCCATCCATTCCATAGATATTGCGTTTCTCCTTTGAATTCAAGACTTCCGTTCACTCCATCCCAAAAACCAATCTCCTTGAATACCATACTTGATGGATTCGCCTCTTCTGGCTGTAGAATCTTAATCGCATAGGACCCGAACTTCAGATCACCATTTTTATCAAACGAGACCTCGGTACCTGATCGACCCATGAAAGAAACATTCTTCATATATTCCAGAAGATCAATAGTTCTTATCGTAGGAGAAGTGCTAGGACATTTGCCTTCAGACAGTAGCATTCCTTCCCCTTCTTTGCATTTCAACATAGATTCAATAGCATGTACAACCGCATTCACAGCATCCATGACGTTGGTGTATTTGTTTCTAGGTAATACAGAAGCAGTTGGTTTGCCTTTGTCTTTGTCTTTAGGACAAACAATAGTCGCATTATCACCTGTGTTTGACTTATACACATAGTACTCTTTGCTACTGACAAACTGCAAGTTATTTTTGGCATTAAATAAACTTGTATTCCCACCTTCGGCATTAATTATTTCGCAATTGAATTCGTTATTCCAAAATTCGGCAAACCACGGATTTCGCCTAGAGTTTCCTGGATCTAATTTCGCTAGATGCGCCTCAAAACCAGAGTGCTTAGTCAATCTTGGAACCATTCCTATCATTCCACCAACGGTCTTTGGGTTTAACTTGTATAATAAATACGAATCGCCCCAAGTTTCGGTGCCGATCCAAGTTTTCCCGCTCAAGCCGAGTTTTGTGGCTTGTTCTAAGAAGCCGATAGCAATGGGACGCTGACACCAAAGTACGATCACTTTTGCGCGTGTATGAGCCTTGAGCGAAGTGATAATTCGAGTTAATTCTTGTTTCTTTAGATTAGGATGAAAGACCGATTCAACCGCCATGCAAATACTGCGCTTTTTTAGCTCTACTTTCAAAGCATCCATTCCCGCTCTCCCGTACTCGCTATCAGACGCAACAACAGATACATAAGTCCAACCAAACTTAAGCAACAGGTCGGCGATGGCCTTTGCTTGGTACGTATCCGAAGGAATCGTCCTCAAAAAAGACCTATAAATATCCTTGTTGCTTAAGAAGACACTTGTAGATGAGTAGCTTATCTGTGGAATGTTAGCAATCCCAAAAATATGAGCGAGTTGCGTCGAAATCGGACTCGCAGCTCCGCCTATGACCGCCACATGCGATGATCGTGATACGCATTTACACTGACTAGAAGACGAATTCTCCTGAGATTCATTACGATCTGCTTCCAATATAAAATCAAGTGCTGCCCCAAGAGCATTGCTCACGTCGTTGCAAGAGTCCCTGATATCAAAACCAAGTTCATGTTTGGGTATCAAAGTGGTATCATTGTTGATCTCGTCTATCGCGTACAACATCGCTTCAGTCCACGTCAACGCGTAATTGTTCAAAACCAAAGTCCTTTGGTTTTCTTCCGTCTTGTAAACATGGACGGGGAATAATCCCCCTAGAGTGAGATCTGCTCTTTGCTTTTGAAGCTTGGGTGGATTGTTACATGTGTACGGGTGGTTTTGTTGAGAACCGACTAGCACGGCCAAGGTCGTCAACAAAATTAAGAATGTAACAATAAAATCCATCCTTCGTAATTGGCCTTGCCTTTGCGATAATCTTTCAGTCGTAGTAAGCCGCATAAGAACTTCATGTCCCGCAAGCCACCAAGCGATTCCCGCAACGGCAAGCCATTCTATCCGATCCGAACCTGAACATTTATGCCAATCACCAAAAATGAAAAACGAGATTCATACAATAAATAAACATTGACGGCTTTTTTGGGCCAAACAATGACAGCTGATAATTTGAATTTCTGCGCACTTCAAGACGCATTGACAGGACTCAATCAATACTGAGGACAGAATAGAAACCTCATCCCTAGTTTATAACTGGAAGTTACTATCGGTTCCCGCCAAGCAAGGCTCACTAGAGTTCGTTCGTTATCAGAAAACGCCACAGTAAACTTTGGTTTAACTTTACCATGAATTTTCCTGTTGCCAAGAGAAATAGTATGACTCGTACAATGATGCATATGTACGAGTGGCGTTGACCACACGTCTAAATTTCGCATTGGAATTGCAAATAGAAATAGAAATCACGGGGAAAATAGAACGTTCAAAGGAATTGTTTTTATTTTAGAATAAGATGGCGAGGAAGCTATCACACAAGCCCTGCGCTCCCGAGGCCATTATTTGAAGCGAGGCCATTATTTGAAGCGAGGCAATAAAATTTCAGAAGCCTCTAAAGCCTGTTTCCTTACATTTATTCGCAGAATTGTAATTTCTAAAAATACATTTAGCTTTACTTGTTCAGACGAATCGATATTGCGTGGCTATCGTCTGAATATTCTTGACAGATAAAAAAACGAAATGTTTGGAAAAATCTCAAGCTTTCTGCCCCCGCGATGAATAATAGATAGCATAATAAATGTCGCTAAAAAGACAGTTTTTTGATCGTTTGTTGGCGAGAAGTAGATGAACAATGAAGCGTTCATGTTTGATACGGAAGTTCGGAAACCGAGCGGCTAGGAAAGTTTAATTTTGATAGCATTAGATAATTCGCTTCGCTTTCAGTGCGAATATATTAAATGCTTGACGGATATCTACCTATAATTTTCATTTAACAAAACTCAARAGACTGCATGATTTTTAATAATATAAAAATGCAATCTTAAATAGACAGATATAGCCGTTTATTAAAGACTAGAACCAAAAAGTAGAAGACAAAAATAAAATCAAAGATAAAGCAGAAAAATAACTTTAAGGGCTACTCATTTGAGACTGAAAATAAATTAAATTATTCCTGGCTTTGAAAGAATTGTATTATGTAACTATCAAAAATTATATGATCGTACATTATCTTTTCAAAAAGAAAGCGTATTATCAAAAAACAATCTTTATTGATTCCTACTTGTATATCCTTTCAAAAAATTAACATTAGATACACGCCGTCTTATCATTATAGCCAGGCGGTAAAGAAACACACACAAATAATTTTTTGATTATTCAAACTAGCGGCTTACAGTTAAAAAAATATTTAAAATGATTGTAAATTGTCGGAAACGGATACTGAAATCGCTTTGCCGCTTAGATCTATAGGATTAAATAGATAACGGGAAAGAATCGCCAAATTTGTGGCATGAAATTTAATTAGTTTTTGCATTATTTAACGCTTGGCTTTCGCTCTAAATCCGGAGTACAGTTACATTGTGGAGAAGTAGCCGTTATATTAGAATCGTCAGATTTGTGAGATGTAAACATAGTTAGTTTTCGCATTATTCAAAGCTTGACTTGGATCGCTCTAAATCCGGAGTACAGTTACATTGTGGAGAAGAAGCCGTTATATGAGAATCGTCAGATTTGTGAGATGTAAACATAGTTAGTTTGCGCATTATTATTCAAAGCTTGACGAACAATTGTACGAGCTGATCAATGAGAATCGGTCCCACGCATCACATTGGTCATTTCATCTAAGTTACTCATATCAATGCGTTGAGATTCATCATTTATCTATTCAGGAGGTTTAGGAGGAAGGACGGAAGAAACAAGTAGGAATGACTACGTAAAAATGAAAATAATTAAAGAGAAAGAATGGAGGAAAATGTATAAAGTAAGCGGGAGGGTGCTGAAAATATGAAGAAGAAAAAAATGCATTTGACTACCAAAGATCAAAACAATGGAAAACAAAACAGGTTTTGAAATCGAATGAATTCAGTGAATAAAAGGTGACTTTAAAAAATGAAATGCAAGAACTAAATTGAAGTGAAATAACAAATGAATAATGAATAGAAAAGAAAATGAAAGTTGCAAAGTAAAACTACTGAAAAGACTTCAAGGAAATAAAAAATGAGATGGCACGAAACAAGTGAAGTGAAATAACGAGTGAATAGAAAATAAAAATAGTGAAAGTCGACAAGTAAAACTAAAATACTTCAAAGAAATAAAAAATGAGATGGCACGAAATCAAGTGAAGTGAAATAATGAAAAAGAAACTGAATCGCATAAAAAAAAGGCGGAAAATATCACCGTCTCAAATCTTGTTTTCTCCTCTCTTTCAGTAACCGTTATTTTCTGTACATAAATTGATTAATACTGCRATAGTCAGAAATATTTTGCCTATTCAGTACGTGTACCATGTGTTATAAATTAATTTACAAATGCTTTTTCACCAACAACATATAAAAACAGTCTATAAAGACCTGGTGGAGTTTGTCTGAGAAGTATTTCTTGTACAGAAACGCCAAATATAATTAAAAAAAGCCGAACGAACGAATCGATTCTCACCATTTCAGTGCCTTTAATTATAAATAAAGCTCGCTATGTTTTCACAGATATGCCATTATTAGAATCGAAAATCTGTGGATGACGAGATAGACAGGCTAATAGATCTTATGCAAAATTTATGACTGGGATAGCGTAGTTATCTTGATGGAAAGAAATTCTTCATACAACTTGTACCATGAATCCGTTTTGAATTTGTTTTCGAATTTTGAATGTTTTCACTCTCTTGAAAATCGCAGAATAAAGGAAGGAAGCAAAGCTATTAAAAAATGGTTCTGCATGCTATTGCTTAGGGGTATAGTTATGTTTGGTCTCTCCCTTTATTCAAGAGCTTTTTCCAGGTTCTCCGGCTTTCTCCTCTCCGCGAAAAACCTAACACGCTAAACTCCAACTTGACTTTGAAGGTTTTTTTCAAGCAAAAATTTATATTAATGATAAAACATCTGTTGTATCATACTTTTTTCCATTCTTTATACCCAATAGGCTATACTGAAACATTATTTTTACCTGTATGGACCGCCCCTCTACTTCAGTTTATAGATGGCCACTTACTTGCTCTTAAAAGCTGCGCGCCCCGGGCAATTTAGAAAAAAAAGAGTGTCATATAGTTTACGTCTCCTCTTAGCCACGTTGAAAGCATAACATTATGCTCTCATAAATCTCTCATCTCGGTGATCAATCGCTTAAAGATTGGAAATTGGAAATGTTGAATGGACTACTCCGACGATACGGCGGCCATCTTGCCAGGGGGCAAAACGAAACAAAGATGACAGAAACATTTTGAATCATTTGTTCRCTTATTTGCTTAATTGCTTATTTTGTAAACTTCGAATTCATTAATTTATGTAAGACACGAGAGGCAGAGCTCGCTGGTTTTCACTTCGACGCACTGAAGTACGCAAGCACAAGTATAAATTTTTTATCCCTTGCGCTTGTGCTTTCGTCGTTGGAAAAATAAACTTATTTAAACTGTCAATTAACATTGAGAATTTAAAACTCTGAGGTGAATTTGTTTGGTACGAGAAAAGCTATTGTAAATGCAGGGGTTAGAGGATAAGGGCGCTCTGATCTGAAACAAACTGAAAAGATAAAAATAGCAGAGAAAAAAAGAGGGGGGGGGGGGGGAGGGAGAATAACGAAAGGAAAGTTCACAGGAAAGGGATGAAAGTAATATAGTAGAAATTATATTAGGGGGGGGGAAATTTTTTTTTCGAAAAAGATTATAAGTAAGACCAAGAGAAGTGAATAAAGAGCTAAATAATTTTCACACAAAAACCAATGATTAGCTATAGGGTTTATAATGTACGCAATAAGATTCAGCTTTTGGTGGACGTCAATCAAGGCGTTTACATGACATTCTGTAGGCACGTGCCCTTATAGCTTTGTGTTTTCCGACAATGTTATGGAAACGCCTTGTGATTGACGTCCACCAAAACCTTCTTCGTCGCGACAAAAACAATCGCTAGGGGGCGCGTGTGATTGAGAATTGCTGTAACAAATATGTCATTTATATGTCCCTCACATATGCTGCAAACCCAAGTACGTACTTAAGACTTTGTCAACGTTTTTCCTTGCTGTGAATCTAGACGGTTTATCTTGGACGTATTTGTTTTATTATCTAACGAAAATGATTGTCAATGGAGTGATTACTTGCTCAGTGATTTTTTTCCCACGCTTCGGCAGACAAATCAGCCACAGAATGAAAATGTTCTTCGAATTCGATATAGTGCACTGGTTTCATTTGGCATGTTGTTGCTGAAGGAAGGAAGGAAAGATGGACGAAAGAGAGAGAATGAATGAATGGATGGATGGATGGATGAATGAATGGATGGATGGATGAATGAATGGATGAATGAATGAAAGACAGACAGCCAGACATAAAGAAAGAAAGACATGGGCAGATGGATAGAAAAGAAGAAAGAATGAAAGAAAGAAATAAAGAATGAATGAATGAATGAATGAATGAATGATGGGAGGAAAGGAAATGTTCAGTTTAACCATTGATGGTCTGAATCAACCAACATTGTGGCTAAGATGTTACATGTACGTACTACAAGAATTCAATACAGTTTATCAAAAATACACTTTTATTTGCTTCTTGTTATATTATCTAATGCGTCATTATACGTATAGATACTATTAAGACCCAAGACCCATTCAAAGATTGAATTTATAAATTGCCTTTTATCAAAATTCCAAAGGGATCTCAGATAGGCTCTTTCTCCTTTCATTTTTCCTTCTCTAACCTCCCTCCCTAGAGAACCTGTTAAAGGATATTTGAATCAAAAAAATAACTACATTTTATATACTTTGTTTTACTTGTGCTTGTCCAATGAAACAAATTTTGGACACATTTCTTAGCAATAACTATAACATTAAAAACACACACATCTTTTTAAAAGTAAATCCCTTATATCACTATAAATTCTTTTTTAAGAAATACCATTACCTACTATATTATGATGTTTTTATGTTATATTTTGAATTTGCATATTTTTATAAATTTTTGTCAGAGGCATAGTTAATGGGGTGGGGTGGGGTGGGGGAGTTTAAATCACAGGAAACAGAAGCCGTGTACTTCCATTGTTGACCTCCAAACATTTAGCTGCTAATGAAGTTAAGTATTGAGGGATGTTATTACCAACTCCTTAAGAAGTTAAAATAATGAAACAAAAGAAAAGATACAGAGAAACTCGGCCTGTATGCAGCCCCTGTGCTATGATTAAGCCTGGTTCCTACACTAGAATCGAAATCGTAAGCAGCATGTGCAGACTCAGTATGGCATTTTTTACCTAGGTGTGAAAAAAGACAAGCACTTTTAATGAACAGTTCACTACTAAGTCTAGGTAAGTTGCTTCCAATTCCGATTCTGACATTTGTGTAATCCAGGGTATATTTGTCACAATTATGATCTCAAAAAGTTCATTTTCAATTATCATCACCCTGAGGTAGGACAGCACTTTTGTATGCATTGGCACAGAGATTCAGGGTTTGGCTTCTCTGCAACCCCTGCAACAGACAAGCCTTTGTTGTGCAATGCTTGACTTGTTGTGTTACCAATAGCAACCAGCTGTATGCATGGGAAAGAAATGTAGTTAGTAGTGCTGTATATAGTGGTATAAAGAGTGGGAACGTCAGGAGAGGGTTGGAAATACTCACAATTAAGTTTTTCTCCCCCTGTCCTCCAATCCCCCTTCCAACCATGGTGGCAGGGGGGTTTCCATCACACTTCACATTGAATTTTGAAACAAAATCACGTAACCCAAATTTTTTTACCTATCATGCATCACATATAACGTCACGATATACAATCACGCATCAAGCAGCTTATTTGGGAATAATTTTATAATCATGCAACGAATTTTGAAGTATCATGTGCAATCAGAAACCCTTGCCACCCTGCTTTATGAGCTGGGTAGTGACTTTTATAATGATTTTTATAAGGATTTTATTTCATTTTATAAGGATTATTGATACATAGTTATTGGGGGAATAAGGGATTCAGTAATTCGAGTGCAATTCATACCTTAATAGTACTGAGGTCTCCCATTATGTCTTTTATAAAATCTATGGTAAATTCCAAGCCAGAGGGACTAAAGAAGACAATGACATCTGGCAAACCCTATAAATAGATATCAAGGCAGCTGAAGTTGCCAATGTTGATTATTTGGATATAAAAGAATTAGTGAGCAATTGAATGATGATTTATAATTATATTACCTCACACTTTATTACACTACATAACTACCACACCATTTAGCAACACACAAACATTATAACAAAGCCCACCGTACCATACCCAGTTATAACTTACAAACAAATATCAGATCGCACTACACCCCACTACAATATACAAACATCAGTTCACACCACACCCCACTACATCAGATCACACCCCACTACAATATGCAAACATCAGATCACACCATACCCCACTACAATATGCAAACATCAGATCACACCCCACTACAATATGCAAATATCAGTTCACACCACACCTCACTAGAACACACAAACATCAGATCACACCACACCTCACTAGGACACACAAATACCAGTTCACACCACATCACACTACAATACAAACACCAGTTCACACCACACCTCACTAGAACACAAAAACATCGGGTCTCACTACAACACCCAAACATCACCACACTACACTACAACACAAATATCAGATCACACCACACCCCACTTAACAACACACAAACATTAGATTACATCTGAGCAAGCCACACCAGGGCTGGTTCTGTAGAGAAATAATTGTCCAATGACTGGCCATAATTTAAGCCCTGCACATTTACACCCCGCCCCAATCTCCCACTCCACACTACACATCCTCTTTTTATATCAAACTATACAATACAATACTAGACTAAAACTAGTTACCTTTGTTTTGATATGCTCTTGAAGTGCTGATTGTATTTCAGGGTTTGGAATGGTTTTATACACTTCTACAGATGTTAGTTTGATTCCTATGTAAAAATATATTGTATATTACAGGTTAGTGAGCTAAAACACCAAAATTTAATTTATAATTTTTCAGACTTTCAAAATTAGTAAGACATTAACAGAGCTCTTAACTATACCTGCGTTTTTCATTTCTTGTGGTATAGTTTCTCTTCTGAGATTTCCACAGGGGAATAACAATGGCTGATTTCCAGCTGTAATTACTTTACAAGAAAATGTGATTAAAATTTTCACCAATGATATAGAGCTATATTTGCAAGGGCTCCTCCTTCCTCCCTGTCCTCCCAGTTTTTGTGGCCACTCAATTTTGGTAATAATCTAATATTTATCCAACAAGTCAGATGACCAATGAATGAAACTGTAACCAAGCAACAGCAGACAGACAGACAAACATGTAGACAGATGGACAGACAGACAATGACAGAGGGACAACAGACAGATTGACAAATATATGTTATTCACTATACCTTGTTTTATGACTGGTACAATGGAGACACTCAAAAGATATGTAGACAGATGGACAGACAAAAACAGAGAGTATTGGTGATTTACTGTACCTTGTTTAATAACTAGGGTACTGTGATGTATTCAAGTACACAGACAATCATGCAGACAGATGGATAGACAATGACAATGAGATGGACAGTATCAGCAATTGATTGTACCTTCATGTTTTATGGCTGGTGTAAAGCAGACAACAGGTATGTAAACAGATGGACTGACAGACTATCAGTAATTTATTGTACCTTGTTTTATGATTGGTACCAGTTTTTCGGCACTTCCAGATTGATATCCACAACTCTGAAGTCCAAGTTTATTCTTCACTAAAAACAAAAATTATATATAAAATTGTGGCAGAAATGCAGCTGTAGCAGAAGCAATTCAAGGCTTTACAGGAATGACTGATGAGTTGAAACCAATAAACAAGGCTGTGAAATTTCTTGTGTGGGCTTACTGGCTGTTGATGTTGCATCGCCAATGGCAAATAAGTGTAGATCTTGCCATTGTTTTTGAAGAACTTCTAACCATTTCTCTTTGGGAATGTACTTTGAAATAGAAAGTTCTATGGCTTCAACACTTCTGGGGCTTGTAATTATCATACCTGTGGCATACAATTGAGCAAAAATATTATAAGATTGATGTTAATAATCAACTTAAAGCAAGAACAAGATAAGAAGGAAGTTATTTCAATTCAACTGAAATCAGGTTTGCAAGAATTTCTAGCATGAAATGAATGAATGCATGTACTGACAGATGGATGGATGAGTGGATAAGAGTGTGAGAGAGTGGGCATGAGTGGATAAATAAATACAGAGAAATATGGATGGATGAGTGGATGACTGAATGAATGAGAGAAATGGAATCTTATGATTATGGTTTTATTTATTTATTAAATAAATAAAACTAATTATAAGCATGGATGAACATTCAATTAATGCATTGAAATATAAATAAAAATATAGCCTCCTCCACAGGCTTACTTGCTAGGGTTTTTGTCGCTGAGAGAAAGAGAAAAAAAGCAAAGAGATGCCGAGGAAGCTCATCACGATGAGTTAAGAAATGCACAAGGAGCAAGATGGAGAACTACCACTACTTTAATAAATATTATACGCTTCAGATATCACAGAAGCATTAACTAACCTCCATGGCTCTGAGGCTGATGTAGTGTTTCAGCCAACCTGTCTAAATTCTCAAACTCAAATGACAGTACAGGAATCGAATAAGGAACATACCCTTTAGACATCAATTCCTGGAAATCAAGAGGTTACGTAATGACCAACGATTACGTAATAGGCTCAATATTTATTAATACACGTTTAAAACAGTCTAATAAAGCTTGTTAACAATAAGCAGATTAAAAAAACTTGGTGCGAATCAGCATCATTTAATGAATTCATCTATAAGTTAAATATAGGTAAAGTTGATATGAGATATCTTTTTGGCTTACCCTGTGATATTTGTCTTTTTCTGAAGCAGAAGGTGCACGAAGCAAAACAACACAGACGGCAGCCATCTTGGAGTGTAGCTTTTTTTCCGACTTCGTCGTAATTTCGGCAATTAAGAATTCGTAATTATCGCATATCCAGGCAGATGTTGAAGAATATATCTTCTTTAGTAAGCCAAATACCACTTCGTAGCCTCATTTAGTATATAAACAAGGGCGTGACTCAGAACGCTTGCCCCCGGCGGACCTGACCGTGCTGGACTAAAGTCACAAAGTACTGGATAGATGGGCTACCTGTGGAGTATGCAAATTATCATTTTTCCACAGGGAACCCAGAACCAAGACTCGCAATGTCGGCTTGTACGGAAGTAGGCAAAAGATCCGATCATCAGATTTWAAAAAAATTTTGCATGATGAAAGTTTATCATGTACTAGGAGTAAAATACGCAATTTTCGCAGAACTTTAGAAAATAACCAAATAATTAGTCAGCATTTGAGATTTTGGTAAAAATGTAGAAATATGAAATTTTATTGGGCTACAGGTGTGGACTTGGAGCCTTCCCGCTACGTGAAATTCGATTTGATCCCATCGTCAAATTTTTTATAAAATGTTCCTCTAAAGTTAGATATTACGAAGTACTGTACTTTTTTAAAAAAGTGCTCGACTTTGTTTTATAGCTATAATAGATTAAAGACGTTTTTATGATATTTTGCTTATCAAAACATTGGAATGACGTCCACGAATCACGAGCGCGTGTTCACTAAATTCGGGCAGGGAGGAGGGAGCTCCCTCCTTACGCCTTGATTGATGCGTAGAAAGGGTGCGCGCGAACAATCCCCATGAACTTCCTTATAGGAATATTGAAAATCGATGTAAAGGAAAAGGTCTTTCTGCAAGTAAAAATGCAGCCTGTAAGTACGTTTACAAGAAATTTAATCCTGAAACATGTAACAAGCGAAATTTATATAAAAAAAAGAAAGATAAGAAAAGGTAAGAAAAAGAAAAGGAAAGGAAAAGAAAAAAGAAAAGAATGACCAATCTATTCAAGTGAAGACAGTACAATCCAAAAACCAGTCAGATTTGTTAGGTTTATTTATTTATCTCAAAAACCAAAAATATTCATCCTTATATGGCTTGTGCAATACAGCCAAATATTGCAGAGCATCTCAGGATTAAGAAAGAAGTCGTCCCAAAATCCCTATATGCACAACAAAGTGGTCTCATTGCAATTGAAATTTTTATCACAATATTTTTATAATATAAACACCACTAAATATTCACTGTGACATCAAAAAGAGCCCAAATAATTTAACATATTAAGATATTATTGTAGAACTATTGTTTTGTCAGAGAAAGATGGTATAAATATTGAATTTGACAATTATTATAAGTGAGGAAAAAAGGAATGAGCTGCTGTCAGACATGAAGAGGAGCTGGTGACTTTGTTTACATTCTACAGCTACGAAAATTACTATATGTAATAGGACTCCATGCTGTCTAATTAAGAAAATAATTGGACAGCTACCTATATGGGATTAATAAGAAGCTGTATAATTAGAATGGTAATTTACAAAATCAAAATTTGAACAGACCGTTCCCTCAAGGTTGCGTGCACCACAAAATTGAAAAATGCAAAATCAGTAAAATTTAGAAGCCAGTTTTATATTTTAATTATACAGCTTCTCATTGATCTCATATAGGTAACTGTCCAATTATTTTCTTAATTGGACAGGTCTTGTTGATATGGGATTAATTAGGCAGCTATATAATTAATAGGTAATGGGATTTCATGCTCCCCAATCAAGAAATAATTAGACTCGGAAAATTCCTCTGACTGCCAAATTGGACTCGGCCTAAGGCCTCATCCAATTTTGGAAGTCCTCAGAATTTTCCTCGTCCAATTATTTCTTAATTGGCATGGAGTCCTATTACATATACAAAGAGGAGAATAATCCATTTTATGAATAAATTTAAGGAATTCTTATCGAAAAAAATTCATAGCAATGCATGATAATACTCGTGTTCTGGTATCGTGGCCCGTCAAGTTCCTTAAATTTGGATGCACACACAACCTTGAGAAAACAGTCTATTGTCTATTCATGAAGTTCAATTAAAAAATAATAATCTCTTTACATGATCATAGTATGTAATTAAGGATTTTTACAGCAAAAGACTTTTCAGAATTGGTTTAATTTCCCCACATTTCAAACTATTAATCATTCTCTTGAGAATTGTTTTAATAAGGCAGTGCTTGATAAAAATATAGGGTCTTTTCTTGTATTGTGGGTGAGGGTTTTTTTTTTTTGGAGGGCATTAATTATCCTTGGCTATTGTTTTATTTTATTTCTGCTTCAGATGCCTTGATGCCAGCACAAAGAAAGAGCCAAAATATATTGCACATGAGTACTACTCTTGAGAGTGAATCTTTAGTCATTTACAAGTCATGGACCAATCCATAGGGTTTATTTTCTACCTTTCATTTTCACCATAAAATATATTATTACCCTCTCACTCAAAATCCAAATACCAACAATAAAAGAGTTTAAAACATTTCCTAAAGATAAAACTAGGTTTCAATCATCCAAAACCAGTAATGCCCAGGTGAGATCATCACTGAACATTAGAAACTGCATCATGTATTGCACGTGCAACATGATCTACATTGCCTGGATTCAGACCACAGACATTGATCCGACCACTGTTCAGCAGGTATATATGATACTTTGATGTCAACAACTCCACTTGTTTCACTGCAAAGAAAGTAAAAGAGATGTTTAGATGATTAAAACATTTTTGGCAGCTTAGCCATTCATTCCATTCCCGTTCTCTTGGGAATAGGATTCTTTCTTTGAGTGGTATCCCAAAGCTGCAAATAAGTGCTGGTCATCAGACAATGTCTGGTAAAATATTATTACAACTTCACTGGTAAATAATTTGATAGATGAGTCATTAGGCCGTGTGGGATGGGCTCGGAAAACATATAAGAACATGCGTAATAGGTAAATTAAGGACCTTGTATGAAACGAATGAAGAAGAGTGCCAATGGGCCTTTCACAACTTCAAGTCGCGTAAAAAATGAGCCAGCTCAACTAGAAACTGTGGACAGCTGTTTCGGYCTGTATTGGGCCTCGTCAGCACAGTGTATCTAGTGAGCTGGTAGAAAAATGGTAAATAATTTGCTTGGTCAGACATTTGAACAAGCACAAGCACTTTTTTAATCAAGCAGCCTTATATACTTATTGATGGAATGTCTGATATTGAAAAAGAAATTTGTTCAGCCACGCTTGGGTTTCGACAAGTCAAATATGCTTCTGGCCTTACAAATGACCTACTTATCGAATAAATAGACCTCTTAGCTAATGGGCGCTTTGTTTTCCCATTTCAGACCATGTGTTATTCCCTTGAGAATAAGTTTCTTTGTTTGAGTTGTATCTACAGTCAATCCAAAAAACGTTGTCGTCGACTGGCTCAAGCCTAMGCGACTGGACCGAAAGAAATATGGGTAAAAATCACTGAAGCGGTTAAATATTCGTTCTGAATTAATTGTTCCCACTAGAAATAAGATAATAATGGCGAGAAACATTCCATCAAATGCATGTCTTCGGGTTTAGGGAAAGAAAAACAAAGTAGTTATGATTCAGTTCATAATTCCGAAAGTATGAAGGCATTTAAAAAACGTCTCCTTCAACACTTCCCGCTCACCTACGAAGGTTTGTGCTGTAAACCAGGCATAACTAGTCAGATAGAATTATGGAGTCAACTCGGCTTCAATGATTGCTACCCAGAGTTCCTTTCGGTCCAGTCGCGTAGACTTGAGTTGGTTGACGACAACATTTTTTGAAGTGACTGTATATTCATGTGTTTTCTCACAACTGCACAACACTGTATCTGCATCCATATCAATGTCTGTATCTACTTTTCTATATGAACGTTTCTGGATGTAAAAAAAATGCAACTTAAAGCTATTCCTTGCTTCCTAGTAAGTTTCTCAAGCAAATAATATTGAGAAATTAATTCCGAAGCCTTGAAGATAAATAAAATTTTTATAATATGTACTTACAGTTAAGGCCAGTAAAGCTAAACATTCCCTTTTGATCTACAATGTGGTTCCATTTTCCTGGAGTTCCCAGTTCTTTTAGTTTAGAAAACAGTAGCTGCCTCATCTGAATAATACGTTCACCCATGAACTTCACGTTTTCAACCCTGTGTATGCAAAATAGAAATTAAAAAGGTACTGCCTTTTGTGCTGGCTCAGTAATGACAACTGATGGTTAATTGCAATAACAATAATAATAATAATAATAATAAATAATAATAATGATAATTCGCTAGGACTTTAATAAAATTTTAACATTCACTCATATATTTTAGATCTCTATATGATAGATTGTCTCGCCAAATTTTTAAAGATGTTTATTATTTTTTCAAAAAAAAAAAAAAGACGATGATGATGATGATGACTATGACTATGACAATGATGATGATAATAAGAAAAAGAATGATAAGATTAAAAGATATAGGTTTAAGGCACAGACTAGAGGCAATATAGAAGAACAAAGTTGTGTACCAGGTCTATAACTTTGAACTAAATCTTTTATGTAATCAAATGACTAAGACATGGTGGCCATGTTTGTGTTATCAACATAGGTTCAGCTAATGAAAAATGTTTGTTATATACCAACATGGCCACAATGTTGTAACGAGAAAACAAAGTATATAACAAGTCAACAACTGGAAGAAGAATCATGACAATAGTTGAAATGATTTGATTGGCTCCAGTTGGCTCAGAGTATGCATTCTAATGAAAAGCGTATTGAAAGTTTCGTCTCATCAAATTTTTATATGAAATTTGCAGTACTTACCATTCTTGATACAAGGCAGAGTTAGACAACACAGTAGCGACAATACGAGCACCATGATTGGGTGGATTAGAAAACATTGGTCTTGTGATGGCCTTCAACTGGCTCTTGATGCGCTCAGCTGTATCATTGTCAACAGTGACTACACAAAGGTTGCCAACTCTCTCATCTATAGCAGTTAATATAAGACAGGTATCAGTAATGAATAAAGTATTTAAATAGCTGTTGAATCTCTCATGCTTCAAGGATCTTCTTCACATTTTGCTTTTACTCTGCAAAAAGGAACATTCCAACCTTCCAACCTTCATTTGATTCAGTAGACATGGTTCAAAAAAATGGCCAGTAAGTGATGACCGGCGAAATTAGTTTTACCTTGGTCAGACCTTGTTTCTGGTTCAACATTACTGGTCAAAATAATGACAAAGCAAAAATATGACTGGACAATCCAATAAATTCATCCACTGGATAAGATTTATCCCTCAGATAGCACTATCCACCCTTGGTACAACCAGGCCATGGTAGATATAAAATCACTGTGGAAATGTTTCTTCTACCAGTAAATCTCCTTTGATTTTTTTTTTTTTTTTTTTTTTTTCATATATTATGAAACAAGAAAAAATACAAAACATTTAAAAATCAATTCCTGATTTAGCACCCTTTCTTTTCTCCAAAAAAAAAAAAAAAGATTTCTCTTACTGTATAGACCAAAGTTCTTGGAAAAGGATTGCCCAGCAAACAGTTCAAATCCTTGTGAAACAAAGTGTCGGATAGCCCAGGCATCATCTTCTATATTACCAGATGCAAAGCCCTGATAGGCTGTGTCAAATACTGGGAAAAGCTGGCGTTTCTGAAGAATAAAAAGCAGCATGTCAGAATAAATACATGCAATATGCACCTTGGGTTGTAATCTGTAAATTGTTTGTGGTTTTAATTAGCAGTTTGCAAAAAGTTAATATCTTGATATACTAACTTTGAGCGATGACCTGCGCTGGCAAACTATCTGGGTAAGTGCATATTGATTTTTTAACGAAAAAACACTCAGTCCCCCACAATTCCAACCGACAACCTTTTTTGAAATAGGTGTATGCATTCTGACTGGTTTGATTTAGTTAGGAAACTGATGCAGGTATAAAACAATGAACCCTTCTTAAATTGTCTTTAATGTGAGGCTATCAATACAAAAGAAATGCCACAAATTCCATTTTGAAAAAGTGGGATTTCTTTCGCATTTCCATGTGAGCCTTGTATCCAGGACAGGGCCATAACTAGGGGGGAGCACAGGGTGCACGTGCACCCCCCCAATAAAAGCTTAAGGTCCGCTCATCCATCTCCTTTTTTTTTGGTTCTGCTTTCTTTYTTTTTTTCGGTTCTGCCTTCTTTTGGTTACCTTTTTTTTTTCTGGTTTGGCTTTCTTAAAAGAAATGATCAATGGTCCGATTTCATTCGATGTGCACCCTCCCTGTAAAAGTTCTGGTTACAGCCCTGCAGGATACTTTTGATAAGGGTCCAATGAAGATATACCTTCATAATTTCTGCAACTTTTTTCCATTGCTCTTTGGATAGATCTACACCAGTTGGATTGTGAGCACAAGAATGGAGTAGGAAGATGGAACCTTCTGGTGCAGCCTATAAAAAAATAAATTTAAGACTAATGACATGAAGCTGATGAATGACACTGGGGATCAAACTAGAGAACTTTATGTTCTGCTGGCGGCACACTTGCACCTGTGCAATATACATGCAGTTATGATATAATTAAATGCTGCGCGTCAGCTGTGACACTCTCTATTACCTCCAGGTCTGCCCACATGTTATCAAATGCCACTGCTTTATGTTCAGCATCATAGTAACGATACTCCCGAATATCAGTGTATCCAGAATCTTTTAAAATCTTGGTATGGTTACCTTAAAAAAATAAATATATGTATGGGAGGTCAGGGGAGGTTAGGGGAGGTCATGGGTTGAAATCCAATTTGGATCATCAATAATGTCATGGAGAAGGTACTATCTTTAATCCTAGACCTTCACATAATATTTGTTCTGGTGGCAAATATGTTAATGATGTCCCATTGCTTCCTGAGCTAAGAGAGGTTGTTCACCTTTATGAATACTACTACTACTATTCTATTTATTAGAGCAAGTTAGTTATTTTGGCAGCTTTCACTGATGTGGACCTGCTTTCACTCACACTCGATAGAGTGCTTGCACTAAATCCGTGAAACAAATACTAATTTTTAGCACTAAATAGTGATAATTAAACAATAGAAAACAAAGGATTCTGTATGAAATAGTACTAATTAGTACTATTTAATGTTCACTGTTTTAGTGCGTGCACTCTATCACTACATTCACATCTTTATTTAATTTAAATCATTGAAGAATCTTGATGTTGAATGAAATAATACAGTGCGACTACTCCAACCAAAGCCACCTCGACAAATTTTCTACAAATTAGCCAATCAAAAGTAGGAATTTGAACAATAGAATTACTACAAATCAGACAAATATCCATGGGTTTACACAGCTTAGAAGACTGCCGRCACCTTTGTTGTCGAATATAAACGTGCTGTCGCATAGCAACATAGTGATAAGATCTAACAGTGTCAGCCTGATAATATCTTTGTCTGGAAGAAACAAACTGTAATCATAAAGACTGTGTTTTATAAGGTCTCTGATTTGCTTTCCTGTCGTATTTGAAGTCGTACATTACTATTTTTTATATCTTTGATGACACGAATCTTTAATTTGCAAAGAAAATATATTACAAGCTCTTCTTCATCATTTAGTTTTACCAACCAGAACAACGGAAGAATATTTAAATTCAAAATTTGCCGCTAATCTATTGTCTAAATACTCAAACACTATTGGATAATTAGTGGAAAATTTGTCGAGATGGCTTTGTTTGGAGTAGTCGCACTGTAATTGATCATGAAGAATAGTTTAATATCCATGGTCATAACCTTCCTTACCCCAAGTAGGTTTAGAAATGTAGGCAGTTGTGCTGACTTTGTAGAACCTGGATAACAATTCAAAGGCCAAACGGAGGGTGCCTGTCCCACCAAGGCTTTGGACACCACAGACCTGAAAATCATAAAGCCAATTTCCAAGGTCTCACTTTTGATTTTTAAAACTTGATAAAAAAAGACATTATTTCTGAACAGCATTAAAAAATATTGCTGTACATTCGTGTACAACTTAAGCAAAAGTACAAAATAAATAAAAGTGTACACATGAAATAATTTAATATAGTATGCAAGTCCATTGTTACCAAGAACAAAACTGCAGAAAAATCAACCTTTTGTGACGTTGCATATTGAATTAAAAGGACCATTTAATGACTTTTTCTGTTTTTAAAAATCAAAATAATGCCCAAAAATTATCTCTTTTCCTTAAACTTCACCAGAAATAAAATATACCTTATTTTTTAAACGCTTATTTTAATTTTTGCGGCATGTATTTGAGAGAAAATTAACTCAAAGATTAAAAATAATTGAAGGTCTCCAACGTCTTATCCTCGCTGCATTACGTGCAGAGCAAGATCTATCTTTTACTTAAGAAATAAGAAGTTATTGAGGTTATTTTTTAAGTAAATACTAAAGCCTCACCCTGTTTTGTGCAATGGCTGGACTGTCAGCCCCAAGAACGAGTTTGTTTGATGCATCGCTAAACTGCCTCARTCCATCGATCCCGAGGTATTCATGGTTCAAAGTTCCATCTAAGATCCCTTGGCACATCTGCTGCTCTGCTTTACGAACCACAGGCAAGACCCACGGCTTGCCATCGTCGTCTCGAAAAGCTACAACAAGAAGAGAAAATTCAAAGATGAGTAACTTAGGAAGAATCCTTCCAAGAAAGACCTTGAAATACGACTGGAATCTGATAGAATTTTGTCCCAATRTTAACTGCTTACCGCCAACTCCAAGGTTTACTTTATCAGGGCTTGTGTCCTTCTGGTAGGAAGAATTAACGTGGAAGACATGATCCGTTGGAACAAGAGGAACGTCCTTGAACAGATTCGTGGCAGCCATCATACTTTTTTCTGTGCTTGAACCCTGACCGGTAAGACAGGTTCGTGATGTTTCTTCAATCGATAATACCTCGGGTGTAAAAATAAATATTTTGTCGATTTATTATCGACTGATTTTACTCTCCGAGTCTAGCCGTCGGTCGCCGTTGGTATATCGACTAACYCATGACGTCATTTTCGTAAGGTTTATTTTCGTTCCTGATATTCAGCAAACTCGTACAGTTGGCTTTAAATTGTAACTGTTTTTTCTTCGTTTCTCTCTTTTCTTGWGTCTATCAGTCATGGGACTGTTTGGTAAAACACCACAGAAGACTCCTAAAGAACAGGTACAATGTTTTATTTTATTTTAAGCTATTTTATTGATGCATGAACTGCGTTAGAGAAACCAAAGTTGCAACTTCTTCGTTTTGAAGTTTCTCTTTTTTTATATATACTATAAAGTAAAAATTATTCTTTCATTCTGGAATTTTGTGGAATATTTTCGGTCTTGTGCAGTTAAAATACATTTACAGTATGAAAAATTGTATTTTTTAGAAAAAATTGTAGCAGAAATAAGTGGATTTCAAAATATTGCTAGCTGCATCAAATTTGTACTGAAAAAAAATTACTGCGAAAGGAAATGAAAAACCTATTTGTATTTTAAAGTAGAATATTTTAGGGTTCGTTATTAACATTATAAATTGTTATAATTATTATATACTAGAATAAGATAATAACTTAATTTAATTCTCAAAATAGTTTTTTTTTTTTTTCTTTTTGCAATTATGAAAATATTGATATCAAAAAGTAATGTGAACTGTAACTGATAATAAAGTGTTACTTCTATTCCCTTAGGTTAGAGAATGGTGTGGTACTATCCGCAAAGAAGGGAGAGTACTGGACCGGCAAATAAGAGGTTTGTATAGTATATACTCAACTGCATATATTATGCCAATGAGTTTGCTTTCTGCGTTGTTCTCCCCCTTGTCATAAGGATTTATCAATGGGTACTCAAGCGGTCTACCCTCTAGACAGAAAAATTAATCATGCAGGCTCAATGCACAACTGAACTGTATACTGTGTTATCCCCTGGTTTACCTTAGGATACTCTGGATGTCTTTCCTTTAGAGGTAAAATTATAAATGTGAAAATCAATGTCACAGCACTGTTTCTCATCAATGTGTAGTTCAGGACATAGGGTTTGTGCAGGCATGATTCCCTAAAGAGAACTCTTTATCAGGACTGGTAATGATACAGATGTCAACAAACCATGTTGTGCCAAGATTTGAAAAAATGAACCCCCCCCTCCCTATTAAAGTCCTGGATCTGCCACTGCAAGCTATAAAGGTTTATAATTACACATTCTTATATACCACTTCAATGGTTCATTTATTTATCAGCAATACAAAATGAAGAAGCTAAAGTAAAAAGAAGTATCAAAGATGCTGCAAAGAAAGGTGATAAAGATGTGTGCAGGATTCTTGCAAAAGAAATTATTAATTCAAGAAAAGCAATCAATAAGATGTACGCATCTAAGGCRCAGCTGAATTCTGTAGAAATGAGCATGAAGAACCAGCTAGGTAACTATCACTTAACTACTAACACTATTACTAACTATTACTAAATTAGACGAGAAATTACAACAATCCAAAACAAAATATGAGGAATGACTGGGCATGAGACTGAGTCTTAAAAATGCTGACAAACCTGCAAGCCAATTATGTATATAACTATGGTTAAAATATGTATCTGAAGGGTTTGATTGTGGAGTAGGTATAGGGATGTTAAGGGGATTTGAAATTGGTGCAATGTACCTTGTAGGGGACCCTGTGTCCTAATGTGCAGCACTGGCCTGTAGGCAAAATCTCAAAAATCAATGTAATTATGTTATTTACTTAATTATAGTTTTTATTATATCTTAATAACTATAAAAGCCAACTGAAAGTATTTTAAAAAATTCATTTAATTATTATTTTTTAAAGCAATCCTATTGTTTTTTTAAAGCAACCCTTAGAATGGCTGGTGCTCTTGAAAAAAGTACACAAGTCATGAGCATGATGCAAAGCTTGATTAAAATTCCACAAATCCAGGCTACTATGATGGAACTATCAAAAGAAATGATGAAGGTTAGTTTAGTGGGCTGGGCAAGCTGTGTATTATTTATTTAAGTTTCCAATAGTTATTATAAAGAAATTATGTCATCCCCAAAATCAAATGATTGTTGGTTAAGTTGCATTGCAGTTTAGCATTGATACATTATCAGTAGGGCATTGGTACTATAGGGAGATGGTAGAGTATTGGTACATTATCAGTATAGTGTTGGTACTGTAGGGTGTCAGTAGAGCAATGGTACATTATCAGTAGGATGTTGGTAGGGTGTGTGGTAGGGTGCATTGATATGGTGTTCACAGGCCTTGAACCAGTGACCCGAACCTTTGGAACCACAGTGGACAAAGACAACGCCATAGCAGCATATGCCAACCATGCTAACCTATGAAAATTTCAAACTCTTAATATTATTGTAACTACCACTCATGCATTTATAGGCTGGTATCATAGAAGAGATGCTRGAAGATACCTTTGAAGGCTTGGAAGATGACGATATGGAGGAAGCTGCTGATGCAGAAGTTGAGAAAATATTATTTGAAGTCACTGAAGGTTAACA